GGGAAACTTGAAGGTGGTGGTGTTCCCATGTTTCTGCTGCCCTTGTCCTTCTAGATGGAAGTGGTCTTGGGTTTGGAAGGTGCTGTCTGAGGAACTTTAATAAGTTTCTGCCGTACATCTCGTAGATTGTACACATTGCTGCTAATGAGCATGGAAGGAGTGGGTGCTGATGATGTAGTGTCAGTTAAGTGGGCTGCTTTGCCCTGGATGGTGTCAAGCTTCTTGAGTGTTGTTGAGGCTGCACTCATCCAGGTAAGTATTTTTTGGGGAGCATTCCACCATTCTCCTGACTTGTGCTTTGTAGATGGTGGACAGACTTTGAGGAATCAGGAGGTGAGTTATTTGCTGCAGTATTCCTAGCCTCCGTCCTGCTCTTTGTAGCTACTGTGTTTACGTGGTGAATCTAGTTGAGTTTCTAATTAATGATAAACCCCAGGATGTCGACAGTGGAGAATTCAGTGATAGAAATGCAGTTGAATGCCGAGCGGTGGTGGTTAGATTGCCTCTTATTCGTGATGGTCATAGCCTGGTATTTGGTTGGTATGAATGTTACTTGTAAATGATTTGGATGTAGGAATGGAAGGGTGGATTAGTAAGTTCGTGGATGGTACGAAGGTGGGTTGAGTTGTGGATACTGCAGAGGGCTGTTCTAGGTTACAAAGGAACATTGATAGGATGCAGAGCTGGCTGAGATGTGGCAGATGGAGTTTAACCTTGAAAAGTGTGAGGTGATTCATTTTGGAAGGACAAACTTGAAACCAGAATACAGGGTTAATGGAAAGATTCTTGGCAGTGTGGAGGAGCAGAGGGATCTTGGGGCTCATGTCCACAATTCCCTGAAAGCTGCCACCCAGGTGGATAGAGTTGTTATCCTGGGACAAGCTAAACAGAGACAGGCACAGGAATTCCGAGAAGCCTAGCACTCCACGAAGCATGCTATTAATAAACACATAGAACTCGATCCCATATACACTCCACTACGAAGGAAAACCAGAAGTGAGGCAATCCAACTCAACAGACTCCAGAGTCTAAAAACCAGGCGGGAAAACACACCGACACTTCATCAGAGGCTGCACTGAGGATGTTATCCAGCATGGTAACGAAACGTCTGCGAAACAACAAACCAGCTCGGCAAGCCAACTAACCTCAATACCATCGGTCTATTCTGATGTTGTCAGCAGTGCTATCTAGTAGCATTTATTTAAAAATAACCAGCTCACTATACTCCATTTGGGTTAGACCTAACAGGGACAAAAAAGCCAAACTCCAGACAGGAAGTAAGCGTGACTGCCCTTGACCTCAAGGCAGCATTTGACAGAATATGGCATTAAGGAGCCATAATAAAGCTGGAGTCAACAGGAGTTGGTGAAATTTCTCCACTGGTTAGAGTCATACCTAATACATTGGAAAATGATATCATTTGCTCAAGGACTATCATCTCAGCCACAGATCATCAAAGCCGGAGTTCCTCAGGTTCAAGCCAATACCATCCTGACTTCAAACTACATCACCATTCTTTCACTGATTCTAGATCAAAATTTTGGAACTTCCTCTCAAACAACATTGTGGGCATCCCTATTCCACCTCGACTGCAGAGCTACAGGCAGCAAGTTCACAACTGGGTTCTCCAGAACAACTAGAGATGAGCAATAAATACTGGCCTAACCAGCAATGTCCATATCCCATGGATGAATTTTAAAAATGAAACCATTTGACCTGTTGTATCCATGCTCGTTCTCTGCAAGTGTAATTCTGCTCCTTTCACTCCCCTTCTTTCTTTCTCATAGCCCTGCAAATATTTTCACTTCAAGCGGTTACCCAGTTTCTTCTTGAAAGCCATGATTAAATCTGCCTCCACTACATTCTCAGGCAGTACATTTCAGATCATAATCACTTGCTACAAAATCTTTCTTCCTGATGTTGTCATTCCTCCTTCAGTCATTTACTTCAAAATAATATCTTCTAGTTCTTGATCCCTCTGCCAACAGGCAGTTTCTGTTATCCATTCTGTCTTGACCCCTCATTAACTTTGAGCACCCAGAAATACATTAAGACCTGAACAACTTCCAGGCTTGGGCTGACAAGTGGTGAGTGACATTCACTCCACACAAATGCCAGGCAATGTCAATCTCCATTAAGAGACAATCTAACAATCATCCACTGACATCCCATTGTTAACATCTTGAGGGTTACCATTGACCGGAACTGAACTGGACCAGCCAATATAAATATAGTGGCTATAAGAGCAGGTCAAGGCTAGGAATGCTGCAGTGAGTGACTCATCTCTTGACTCTCTAAAGCCTATCCACCATCTACATGGAGTGTAATGGAATATTCCCACTGGCCTGGATGGGTGCAACTTCAACACTACTCAAGAAACTTGACACCCTCCGGCAAAAAACAGCACTGATTAGCACCACATCCACAAAAATCTGTTGTCTCCACCACTGATACTCATTACCTTGTAGATCGTGTATACTATCTTAAAGATACACTGCAGAAATTTTTAGACAGCACCTTCCAAGCCCATGACTACTATCACCTAGAAGGAAAAGGGCAGCAGATACATAGGAACACCAAGATTTGCAAGCTCCCTTCCAAGTCACTAACCATCATGACTTGAAATTATATCACTGTTCCATCAGTGTCGCTGAGTCAACATCCCAGAACTCCCTCCCTAATAAAGGGACAGCATCATTATTAAATAAGTTTACATAAAATTAATATTTAAAAGAGAATTATTGCAAGTCGTCTAATTTTGATTGAAACTGATGTTAAAAATGATTCCAGCACATTAAAATAATCAATGAGACTCATCAGTGTCCTTGGCTCCAAATCCTAGAACTCCCTCTTTGATAGCATTCTGGATGTACCTTACCACCATGGAGTGGAATGGTTCAAGAAGGCAGCTCACCATCATCACCTTCTCAAAGGCGATTCTTGTTGGGTAATAAATACTGGCCTAGCTAGCAGCACCCTCATCGTGTGATGAATAGTTTTTAAAAATCATGGGTGCATATCTTCATCGATTCATCAATACCTTAGATAAAGTTCTTATAGGAAACGGCTCATATGAGTTCAAGAACAGCTTTGTCCCACATCAAAAGATTTGTAAACTTTCCCTCAAAGCATCCAACTTTAATACTGAGACAAGGAATGATTCTCACAGTACGTAAAACTCTACTTTTGTTAAGATTTCTCGAGAACAGATTTCAGTCAGATAATCATCCTGCCTGGTTCAACAATCTCTGTAACTTTAAAGAGTATGTTTTCCTAAGACAGTACTAAGAAAGACATCCAAAGGACAGCATTCAACTACAGAAAAGTTTCATGATTGTGGGATCTACTGAAAAGGATTTTGACTTCCTTGAAGTAGTATATGTCCCTTGGTCAACACATCTCTGCACTGTTTCCCCAATTCATTTCTGCTGAAATTTCACTTGTCATTTGTCTGTCCATTCCACTGCCTTTTCCCACTTGAAGTCATCATTGTCCTCCGCACTGTTTGCAAAACGTCCAGGTTTTGTGAGAGGTGAGGAAGGTAATGGGGAGAGAATGGCCTAGTGGTATTATCACTGGACTATTAATCCAGAGACCCAGATAGTGTTCTGGGGACCCGGGTTCGAATCCCGCCATGGCAGATGATAGAATTTGAATTCAAGAAAATATCTGGAATTAAGAACCTAATGATGACCATGAATCCATTGTTGATTGTTGGAAAAACCCATCTGGTTCACTAATGTCCTTTAGGGAAGGAAACTGCCATCCTTACCTGGTCTGGCCTACAGGTGACTCCAGACCCACAGCAATGTGGTTGACTCTCAACTGCCCTCTGGGCAATTAGGGATGGGCAATAAATGCTGCCTGGCCAGTGACGCCCTCATCCCGTGAATGAATAAAGAAAAAAAAAAATTTCAAGTCTTGTGTAACCTGCAAGTTTTGAAAATAGCCTTTTGTACAAAATATTAGTGAATAATGTATATCGAGAAAATCAGTGATCCTAGTATCAACTGATGGGAAACCCCAATGTATACCTTCCTCTAGTCTGCAAACAAGCATTCATCACTATTCTGTTTCCTGCCACACAGCCAACTTTATATCCTTGCTGCCTCTGTATCTTTGGTTTTATGGACTCAATTTTGTTGGCAGTTCTGTTATGTCTCACTTAATGCTTTGGGAAAATCCATATATACCACATAAACCCTCACCATAACCTTATAAAAAAGACTCAAAATTAGTTAAACAAATTTGTCTTTATAAAATCCATATAGGTGGTTCCTTAATTAATCCACATTTGCCAAAGTGACTGTTAATTTTGGCTCCAGATTAATGTTTCTAAGATAATTTTTTTTGTCATCAAGCATACACATGTTAGGAATCAGATGGGATTTTATGTTATTAATGTTAGAGCAATTCTATATTGCACTTGTTTCAAGTCTAATTTTTTTTTCTAGCATTGAATAAATGTGTGTTTCTTTTACAAAGCCACACTTTGTGCCTGTGGTTAATTAGGATAAATTGCCCATTAATTACCAAGGATGTAGGAATAATATTTTTCCCAAGTTAAAGAATGAAATCATTTTGTATCAATTTCCTATAACATGCATTAATAAATTTCCAATCATTAAAATGTACTGAACAGATTAATGTGGTAGCACAAATATGTTCTAAGAACTTGAAGTAAAATAACAATAGTCTATATTTATCCCTTAATAATAACTGTATAGTTCTAAATTGTGGTAACCGACTTTTAAGCACACAGCTATTGTCAAACAAATGCAAGATTTGAGAAAAGTGGAGAAAGTTGCCTCAGTCAAGGTGTTAAAAATTTACATTAAAATGGCAAATAAAACTGATAATATTTTACTGCTAAATTATCAGTATAGTTAAAATGATATAATCCAAAAAGATGGCACTTCACTGAAATAAATGATCCCCACAAGCTGAACAGGCTATCAAACATACTAGCAGTAAGAATAGATGCAAGAGGAATACCTTAGTTACTGTTTTTTCTCAAAAAAACTTTATTACCAAAATAGAACCACACTGCATTTATAAAATATATTAGTGCAGAGTACATCTCAGTTTAAAATAAACTCAATCACGACAAAGTATATTAAGTTAAATGTTTGGCTACAGCTGTATTAGAATGTCAAGGATCTTTGAGATAAAATTGAACTGAATTATAGAAGATGAGGGATTTCAGATGTGTGGAGACATTAGACTAAACTGGGATAGCATTCTTTACGTTAACGGATGCAAACAGTACATTTAATAGAGGTTTATCAAAAACTACAAAGGGTTTAGAAAGAGGAGCAGAAACAGTTTCCACTTACAGTAAGCTCAATAACTAAAGTGCATAGATTTGAGATAATTAGCAAACAAATCTGGGGGGCAGATTGGAGGGGTGAGTTTATTTTATGCAGTGAGTTATGCTATTTGGAATACACTGCTTGAAAGGTGGTAGAAGCAGATTCAATAGTAACATTCAAAAGGGAATTGTATATATATTGAAAAGGCAAAGTTACAGCTGTATGCAGTGGGATTAATTGGATAACTTTCAAAGAGCTGGCATAGGCATAAATGGCCAAATGGCTTTCATCTGTGTTGTCTGATTCAGTGCTCGTGTTCTACCTCAGTAATGGTAAACGTTTACGAACAATTGAAATCCACTTTGATAAAAAGAATTTCTTCCTTTCTCTTTAGAGAATGTATTTCACTCCAGGTTAATTGTGTTTTTTAAGGTGGGATTTGAAAGAGTGGAAGAAAAGAAAATACATGTTATTAGTAAAGGTATAAACACAAATTATCACAATAAATATTTTCATAAATATGTGCTCATTTCAAATTCCTCTTATTTTAAGACAATAGACCGCTTATGATATCAGGATAATGACAATTAAGTTGATGGGAAGTAATTGTTATAATCTGCTAAGTACTTTAACTGTATAAAAGTCTTTTTTGTCTCTATTTTGTTGTAAGCCTTGACAGATTCATTGTAAAAGTCAGTACTGTTTAAATAGTAGAGAAAAGTGATTCAAACACATTAAGATTTCATCCATGAACATTTGTGAAGTAATTTCTTGCTGCAGTTATTGATGTAGCATTGAACGATGTAAGGTAGTTACTATACCTTACCACTTAAACAGTTTGCAAGGTTTTCAGCTAAAATCTTCAACAAACCGAAGAAACAAGCAACATTCCTCTGGATGCATTTTCAATTACAATAACCAATCTATTGTGTGTAGCTTTTAAGTGGCTCAGCAATAATTTTCCACAGTTCCTAGAAGGAAAACCACAAAAAAATCAATACACTATTGAGAACAAAAATACATGAAGGCTTTTCAGCAAGAGACAGTAGTACTGTATAAATTACATCACATCAGATGCAAGCAGGTATAAACACCAAAACCCTTTTAGTCACAAAAATTGTATTGGAGCATTCAGAAAATACACTAGCACAAGATGACAATCCAAATTCAAACAAAGGCAGCTTTCATGGTAGGGTCTGTTTTACCTATACGAGCTGTCATTTCAAGATGCCCATCTGCAATTGTATTAATCTAATAAGAAAATTCAATACATGTCTTTTGATCTCTCATATAGTGTTTTCAAATATCCTGGCTTGGATCTTCTGAGGACCGGCAATTATCACAGATTGCTGCTTTGCTGAAATGTTTGCCTGTCTTGATGCTGGTGTGTGTTTCCGGTGGGGAGTTTGGAGTGGAGAAGAGTTGAGGGGAGAATTAATCACTTTCTCTTGTAAAGCACTTGCTTATTTTAACTTCAAAAGTATGAAGTTTAAGGTGAAGCAACAGTAATCTTAACAGACTAGTGTAAATGTCTGTAAATAGGTGAAAGGACAAATGTTAGTGAATGGGTGAATAAATGAAAGAGTAGGATGGTGGGTAGATAGATGAGTGTAAGTGAGTAAGCTAAGTGGGTAAAGTGGCAAATGAATGAGGTGATAGGTGGGTAGAGTGGTTGGTGGGATCAGTGGTAGATAATGTTAGATGTTAGGTAGATAGGGAGGCATATGAGTGAGGTGGCAGATGGATGGATGGTAGTTGAGTTTGGGGTGAGGGGTTAGGTGGTTAAGCTAGTAGCTGTTTGAGATGGAAGGTAAGTGAGTGGGTACTAGTTAAGTACAGGTATGAGGTGACAGGTCAGGAGTAGTCAGGTTGGGACAGGTCATCAGCTTGGGTAGGGGAGGGTAGACAGGTGGTGTGGAATAGTCATGTCTATTTTAGGAAAGGTAGGTGATTGGCGGGGCATTTTGAGGTCAGGAGGTGTAGATGGGTCGGGATTAGGAGAGCATTCAGGGTGGTTAAATGGTTGGGACAGATAGTTAGGATAGACAGGGCAGAGACGTTGGGGTTCAGAGGATTGTTGGGTGCAAGAGTGGTGGTCAGATTGGACTGGGGGGTGCTTCAAGGGTCAGAGGGGAAATCAAGAATTCAAGTGTAATGTTGGGGGTTTAGTGACTTCTTTAAGCAGGACAACTACTATAACCCGTTTGGCTATATAAAATGCATTTAAGTGTACTCTCAATATACTGCAGTGATTTGTGGGGAGGGCAGGAGGGAATCTAATTACCCTGGAGTTGGATTAGGATTGGCAGCAGCTGTGGAGAGAAACAGAGTTAATGTTCTTGAAGAGGAGTCACACCAGACTCATTGTTAATGCTGTTTCTCTCTCCACAGATGCTTCCAGACCTACTGAGATCCTGCAGAATTTTCTGTGTTCGTTTCACATTTTCAGCATTCTCAGTATTTTACTTTTATTGTTAGATTAGAACTGTTTGGTCAAATATTTCCTGCATAATGATTTAGGAAAGAACACTGCAAGTGTCTGAAGTCTCCAACTTTAGTTCAGATTAGGAAATTTTTGTGGGGGATACTAGGAAACAGGGAAATTATTTGTTGGAAGTTTAAGCTTTCCTGAGCAATTCCCATGGAAGCCAGTCCATTAGGACTTCGGAACGTTCCAAATGCATATCTACGGTCATATGTATGGACTGTGATGATCAAGAGCCCAGAAGACATGGGCAATAATATTTCTGAACCGAGAAGTGAAAATTAAAAATGATACATTCATGGGCTTATTTTCAGTGCTAGCGAGATTGATTGGCAGCAGTTAGAACATAAGAACTAGGAGCAGAAGTAGGCCGTCTGGCCCTTCGAGCCTGCTCCGCCATTCAATAAGATCATGGCTGATCTTTTCGTGGACTCAGATCCACTTACCCGCGTTCTCACTGTAACCCTTAATTCCTTTCTTGTTCAAAAAAAATCTACCTTTTCTTTAAAAACGTTTACTGAAGTAGCGTCAACTACTTCACTGGGCAAGGAATTCCATAGATTAACAACCCTCTGGGTGAAGAAATTCCTTCTCACTTCAGTCCTAAATCTGCTCCCTCTAATCTTGACGCTATGCCCTCTTGTCCTAGCTTCACCTGCCAGTGGAAACATCCTCTCTACTTCTATCTTATCTATTCCCTTCATAATTTTATATGTTTCTATAAGATCCCCCCTCAATCTTCTGAATTCCAATGAATATAATCCCAATCTACTCAGTCTCTCCTCATAAGACAACCCCCTCAACTCCGGAATCAACCTTGTGAACCTCCTTTGCACCCCCTCCAGTGCCAATACATCCTTTCTCAAGTAAGGAGACCAAAACTGCATACAGTACTCCAGGTGTGGCCTCACCAGCACCTTGCACAGCTGCAACATAACCTCTCTGTTTTTAATTTCAATCCCTTTAGCAATGAAGGACAAAATTCCATTTGCCTTCCTAATTACTTGTTGTACCTGCAGACCTACCTTCTGTGATTCATGCACAAGGACACCCAGGCCCCTCTGCATAGCAGCATGCTGCAACTTTTTACCATTCAAGTAATAACCCTTTTTTTACTATTACTCCTACCAAAATGTATGACTTCACATTTATTTACATTGTGTTTCATCTGCCAGACCTTTGCCCACTCACTCAATGTATCTATGTTCCTCTGCAAAGTTTCACAGTCCTCTGCACACTTTGCTCTGCCACTCATCTTAGTGTCATCTGCAAACTTTGACACCCTACACGTGGTCCCCAACTCCAAATCATCTATAGTTAAAGGGGTACTCAAATGTGAAATGACAACTTTCTGTGGGGAATTTAATACGTGTATCCTATACAACTACTGGAATTTCACATCACCAGTGCATTAAAAGTTGGATATTGAAATACATCTTTTCCAATGCTAGTGGTAGAGAAGTGAATGTGAGATGGTTTCCAGGTGAAATAGCAAATCTGCCACTGCCTGATGCTGTGATGTTACTCCCTCCTAAATGATAGCTGCTACTATTAGCCTCATTATTTCTCCAGCTATTTTTGTGCCATGATGATTACGTGGTCAAGAGTATCAAACCATGAGTATATAATATGGCATATTCTACTGATATCACTGTTGTGCTGAGGCCATAAGACTGATTGATTGCTACAATTAGAAAACTTCGGAGATGAAATCGAGGCATTTGTCTCTACAGATTTGCAGATGGAGTTTTAAAACTCTATTTCCCTTCCAAGGGCAGAGAAATCTGCAAAGTGACAAACTGCCTCCACTTTTTTAAAAATACGCTCCTTTTCAGTGCACATAAATGTGGATCACTATTGCAATGCTAGCTCGAATCATTTTTTCATATCTGCGAGATCTCCTTGCCTCTTGCACCAAAATACCAATACTTTATTCAAATGATTTCAGATCCCGGCCCATTCGGGATGTCTCTCCACTTCTCCAGAATTTAAAACCCCTTCCTCAAAATGCTTTTGGACTGTGAAACCCTCTCACAATACTGAAAAACCCTGTCAATTCTGCTGCAGTAGGCTCAGAGGTATTAACGGAGCACTGCATCCTGTCAGCAGCAAGAATGGAGATGTAAAATGTAGAGATTTAAGCAACAAGACGATGTGTAGTCTTCAGCTGTTCCTTTTGGGAAAGGCCAGGTGTTTAATGGTTGAAGAAATTGCTTGAAGGAGTGTACATTCATTACCCAATCAGGTATAGAAAATGAAATAAAAGTGGAATTAAAATTAATTCAGAGTGATAATATTGTATAAATAGTCTTTTGAATTTTATTGAGTTTTTTGTAAAAGTAGTTAAAACATTGAACAGGGAAATTTCTGAGTATATTACTCACATGAGCTTACACAATGCCACTCACAAAAAACTGTTAGCTCAAGGAATTGAAGGCACATTATTAATGTGATTAAGAAACTGACTGCATGGCAGGAGGCAGGGTAAAAATAATGGATATGTACTCTAATTGTCAGGATACGAATAATAATGTGCAAAAGCAATTTGTGTTGGGACCTTAATTATTTAATATATGATGGAATAGAGAGGCGCATATCGTACTTTGCCGATAACACAAAGTAGTATTAGCATCAGTGTGGTTATAAGCATAAAATTAAAAAGATATTAATGAATTAATCGAAAAAATGCAGCAAATAGATTTAATACATGGCATGACAGTTCATGCATTTTGGACCTAAACAGGTTAGTTCAGAATACTTTGTAAATGGTGAAAGGTTAGTAACAATGATGCCTAAAGAGACTTGGGAGCTCTGGTATTTAGATTGCTAAAGTGTCGTGAACAGGTGGAGAAAATAATCATGCAGGATAATACAATGTTAATCTTTATATCCAAAGGATTAGAATGTAAGTGGATAGACATCATGCTACAGAAATACAAGGCCGTGGTTAGATCACACCTGGATACTGACAGAAGTTCTGGGCACCACACTTTGGAACATGTTTAGTTGTCATAGTGAGTGCGTACAGTATATGTACTAAAATAATACCTGGATTTCAAGAAATAAATTATGATGAGAGATTGCATAAGCTACATTTGTATTCCCTGAAATTTGGGAAGTTACAGAGTGGTTCAACTTAAGAAATTAAGGGTAATTCATAGTGTTCCACAAAAAAAGCCATTTGTGCTGGAATGGGTGTTTAGGCTGAGAAGGTATTACTGAAAAATTAAAGTCAAGCTTTTCAGAGAAGTGAGAGAAAATACTTCTACACAAAGAATGGTAGAAATTTGGAACTCTCTTCCACAAATCATTTGATGCTATGTCAGTTGTTAAGTTTAAATCTGAGATTATAAAAGTTTTGAAAACCAAAAGTTATCAAGAGGGCAAAGATGGAGTTAAGCCACTGATTTGCAATGATCCCAATGGATAGCAAAGTGGCCCACTGCAGACCAGGTATAAACCCAAATCAGAGCCTCTTGTAAGGTTGCTGTACCTTTGGCACATAAACGACAACAAATATCATTAGCCTCACTGTCACTTTGATCGAAACTATGTTGAATTATTCTACTATCCCTGCTTCTCGAATAATTGTTCACCTTCTTGATCATTAGTAATCATGTCACACAGTGATTAATTGTGTGCTTACAAAAAGCTTTTTTAAAATTGCTGTATATTTACTTCTGCTGTGTTCTCTTGTATTTCCTCCTTGCTTTCCTAATTTACAATAATATTGTCATCTCCCATTTTCATCTGTCCTAGAAATGCTAAATGTTTCTGGTTTGTTTTGTCCCTCTGTAGGTCATCAGTCTTAAGTACAAATCTTCTCTTTATCTTATTAAATATACCTGATATCTTCCCTTTGCAGCTCAAGTTAATTATTTCCCATTGTCACTCAATCACTATTTGTCATCGTTTGTTCCATTAATATCGGGGGAAGGTTTCTTCTGCCTCTCAATATTTTGTTTTTCCTGCTTAACACTTTATTAAATTTGCTAACCTAAACTGATAGCCTGGAAAATTGATAAATCATAAGAGTTGCTGTTGAGAACATAATGTCACTTTTGTGTAATGTCCTGTTGCTGACCAAACCTGAAGTTGAAAAAGTCTGAAGAAGGTTGCCACAGGTTGATAGGATGTCAATGATCAGGACATCAAAATTTCAAATTCCACAGAACTGAATTATTCCACCTTTCCTCAAAGTTTAATAGTACTTACCAACTGTTCCACTCGTTCATAAAGAAGGAACTGTGGAAAAGAACGTTTGATGGGTTCCACAACAAATTTAGTTTTCCCATCACAGATGTTTTCCAAGTCAGCCAAACACAATCGAAAATGATCATATGCATCACATGTGACATCCATTTTTCTTAAGGTAAAGTTAAGTCTGAAAAAAAATTACAGTTAAGCTTTAACAAATTATCTTGCTATAAAGTTACTGATTCGTTATGATTAACACAGATCAAACATCCATTGGATTTATGTTCTGAATGCTTGGCTAGTTTCATTCCTTCCTAACAAAATGCACAAATGTCCATGTAAGGATATATGTATCCACTGAGATGTCTTTCCATGATATCACCTTTGGGAGAGAAAAGAAAAGATTTGGGCGTAATGCTGGCATAGTGAATTTTGGGAAAATGTTCTCCCAATATATGCTGGCAATGAATCAGGTTTCCTTTTGTTAGTAAATATCTGGAAAATAGTTCCAAAAAAATCTGTTTGGATTTGGACTGTACCATACCTGATTTGGAAATTCTTGACACTAAAATCCAATGTCATAAATGAGAAGTTCCTTTCCTAATCACCAACTGACTAATTGTATAACTCCAGAAAAGAGGACCTCAGTTCAATAATGTCCAAATCATGGCTTACAAGCCAAATCTGACTTGCAACGTGATCTTAGTTTCTTTTCCTTTGTAAAAGACAAGTTAATCTTAGTGTGGGTTCACTGGATTTCTAAAGAAAGGTTCCAATAGAACTATGGAGATTCTCAGCAGGGATTTACTGTCATGCAATTCCTGATCCCAACAGTGCTGCATTCATCCTTCAGTTGAATCTGCCTTAGAATGGATAATACTGAAAATCTAGACTTAAAGTGCAAAGCTGACTAATAATACTGTGTGCTCCTAGTGACAAAGCTGTGGCTGTACCTGTACCTGTACATGAGAATTCTATTCAACATCCATAATTTCACTGGCAGAGATTCTATAGGAGTCTAAATTTTTAATACTACAGCTCACCTCTCAGATGTGTCCTCACTCTGTTTCGGAACAGAAACAAAAGAAAAGCCTACTTTGGGGTAATTGACCAATCAAACTCAAAGGTTGAATGAAACTGCCGGTAATTCTGTCCTGCCTACAGTTACCTTCTAAACAACAAGACAGTTCAACCCTAACGCCAGCAAAATTATGGACATCTCTTTTCATCATGTTCCCAGTAGCTCTGGCACAGTTACACACAACATTGTTTGAGAGATAAAGAGAAAAAAGAAAAATGTTAGAAAGGGGGAAAAATGAAAAGTAAAAGAGTGAACAAGATTAGAGACATTAGTGAAAGCAGAGCAAGGAGCTGGCATAAGAGTGAAGGAAGAAAGCTGAACAACGACGCAAAAGAAGATGGGCACAGATTATGAAGGGAGGAAGATGACAGTAATTGAAGGTTCAAGTCATGATATAACTCTAGCAATGGGGTAAAACAGCTTATGCTTCTCTTGAATAACTGCAATCTAGATGCATTCTTTATCAGATGGAGCCTACTCACTGGCTGCAATGTAACAGTGCAATTGTAGTAATTTTTCAATTAGTCAAGACATCTGTGCCTTAAGTGATTTGAACAGTAGCATTGGTGAAATAGTCTACAAAGCAACTTTTCCCTCTGCAGGGAACAGATTGCATTTATTAATTTCAGCAAGAAGTAAAAATGTCAATTAACAGTAACTTTTATCACATAAGTAGCATTTTCAACAGAACACTCAAAACGCCGTGTTTACAAACTAGTTGCTTTTAGGTAATTTTCTTTTTGGACTTACCGTTTCTCTACAGAGAGATATACGGTGCTTGGATTTTTCAAATTGCTCAAAATTCTGTAGATGGTCTGAAAAAATGCATCTGTCAAATCATCATCATAGAATACTGCAATAAAAAGTAGAAAAGGACATTTCTGTAAAATGCCTCACCAACATATTTGATACTCAAACTGAAACGATCACTGGCCAAATGGGTGGAAAGGTGGCTCATTGGTTAACACTGCTGCCTCACAGTGCCAGAGACGTAGGTTCAATTCCACCCTTGGTTGACTGTCCTTGTGGGGTTTGCACATTTTTCCCATGCCTACGTGGGTTTCCTCCGGGTGCTCCGGTTTCCTCCCACAGTCCAAAGATGTGCAGGATAGGTGGATTGGCAATGCTAAACTGCCCATAGTATCCAGGGCTAGGTAGTTTAGCCATGGAAAATTCAGGGTTATAGGGATAGGGTAAGGTGGGAGGGTGGGTCTGGACAGGATGCTGTTCGGAGGGTTGGTATGGACAAGATGAACCGAATGGTTTGCTTCCACACTGTGGGGATTCTAAGATGAGTTCACTTCAGGTATTTAAGTTCACTTGACAAAGCACTACAGATGCATCAACTGAATATGCTGACCAGATGAGATTATGATATACAACTAACGAACCAATCCAGAATCACATATTTAAGAACAACTAAAGTCCCTATGCAATGAACGCATTTCGTTTGTTCAGCACTCTTCTGACAAAGCCAATAGCCAAAGGAAGGTTAATTGTATGTCTGTTTCGAATGCATAACTCATGCATGACTATGCAGACTGACTGTCAGGGTTTTATCAGCGTTAGAAATATAACAGAGTTTTGATTGGTCCTACAATCTTGCTTTTGACGATTAATTTCTTTTTGAGTAGATTCTAAAATGCACAGACATCCATCAGCCCTATTCTGGAGGCTCAATCATAATATCATAGAATCCCTACAGTGTGGAGGCAGGCCATTTGGCCCATCGAGTCCACTACAAGCCTCCAAACAGCATCCTACCCAGGTCCATCCCCCTACCCTATCCCTGTAACCTTGCACCACCCATGACTAATCCACCTAGCCTGCACATCCTTGGACACTACAGGCAATTTACCATGGCTAATCCATCTAATCTGCACATCTTTTAGACTGTGGGAGGAAACTGGAGCACTCGGAGAATATACAAACTCCACACAGTTTCCCAAGGGTGGAATTGAACCCAGGTCCCTGGTGCTGTGAGGCAGCAGTGCAAACTGAGCCACTGTGCTGCCCTAAGATGTAAACGTGTGAAATATGTAAATATTTACGTAAAATGATACAGTCTAATATGTAAACCAAATTTGTACACCTAATATGTAAAATGGTATAGCCCTTCCCAGTTTAAGTTATTCTTTAGCATATCCTTTTGGAGATTGATTTAAATGTTCTACTTTTTTTAAAGAGGGAAAGCTGTCTCTCAAAGGAAAGTAACAAATCCAATGTTAATGACTGTTACTTGCTGAAAAATGCTCACAATGGAATGGACAAAAATGGAAACCCATTACAGCACAGTCCAAACTCCCATGTGATCAAAGGTCCTTAGAAAGAAAACTAGAGAAAAATTTAATCAAACGTCTACAACTGCCTTTTTAAAATAATGCTGAGACAAAAACAATGGGTAAAAATAAACAACTGACAGATAAAAACTTATTTTCTAATCAACCTGTTGAGAGATGTTATTAAACACCTCTGACAAAGTGAAAGGAACTGATCCAGAGCAACAATAAGACACAAGTGACAGGAGAAGAAACGCTAAAGGCAGGTCTGAAATTGTGGTTTTAGTAATGGGACAAGGATTATGTTTTTTTGAACCAAGCCAAAATTGGCCCAGAACATATTTTCTGTAGTGGCATTAAGTTGCAGCATGGATACAAAATTAGCAAAGAGACCAAAAGTAGGGATTAGTGACAAATGGTTGATCACCAGAAAGGATGGAAATATATGACGGGATCTCCGAGAGATCAGTCATAGAACACTGCTCTTTTTCATATATGCGACTGACCTAAATTCTGGCAGAGCATATTTTCAAATTTTATAACAAACACATTAGCAATATAGTGAACAGTGAAGAGGATAGTATGTGATTTCAGGAGGACAAAGACTGGTGAAATGAAGGCATGACAGTTAATATCGAAGGGCAACAATACAAGATATTTCAGTTTATAGTATAAAATTACACTAGGTAGATTACGTGTGCAGTATGGATTATAATGGGTACTCCCAGAAAGTGTGAGGATCACAGTTTGGTGAGCACATCTTAGATGGCACAGCTGAATAGAAGATATACATAATAAAGTGAAAATAAACAGACAACATTGGAAACAAAGAAAATTAAGTGAATGGAAGATCTGAATGATAAAGCTGACAGCATGATGACTAACTTCGTGGCTCCTGAGGTCAGCTTGCATTGTGTAACTTGCTTAGCCAACCTTGGTCAAATAAGCCAGGTCAGCGTAGCAAGGCATGTTTCTGTTTTTCCATTTATAAAGTGCTAATAGATCTCCAGTGGCAATGTTCTAAATTAAATCAGTGGGCATGCTGTTTAGAACAGGAGCATTCCACTATCTAATCTATAATGTATCATTTGGTGCTAAAGCTCAGTAGTATCTAACAGAGAGTAATTGCTCTTCCTTCCTTGACAAAGTAAACACTGTTTGTTATATTCAAATAATAAAATATTAGTGCGTTTATTCCAGTTATCATTATTATGAGACAATAAATTGAACAGCAACTCCTTCTGACTACAAATGAGCAGGTAAATGTGGAAATCAGAAAGTTGCAATCTAAATTGCTCCTCCAGAAATCTTGCTATAACAGTATTTCACTAAGACGTTTGGCATTGAAACATATGGAATGGCATGATGTAGTTATCCTTATGTGATGCATACCCACTACAGGAAGAACTAGGGATTTCTTTCTCTCCCTTTATATTGGTTTGTGTACATAACAAGTTTGAAACTTCCTGCTTCATATTCTACACTGCTCATTAATGGTTCAATCTGACTGGTTAAGGATCCACACAGTTGCAGAAGTCTCAGAACCCCTGTAGGGGAGTTGTGACATTTTAATCCCAAGAAGTCCCAAAGCTACAGCTATAGAAAACCTGTGGTCAAGTATAAATGTGACAAATAGCTAGTGTTGTTCATTCCCATTGACTGCAAAATCAGGCCCATTCTATTCGCTGAAGAATTTCTATTTGTATCTTCTCAGATGTCAATTTGTCAGTATAATCATCACAGTTGACTGTTTTCTTGAGATAGATCTCAGTTAACAATCCAGAACTAATCCTCTGACTCAGGGCTAGATTTCACAGGGCACCATTGCCCCCTCTATTCATGTGCAGCTAAAATATTAGGGGCATGCCCAGCCACCACAATGATGGGTGCCAGAAGAGGTGCTAACTGTCTTAAGGCAAGACATTTGCTCCTGTCTCAGGAGGAAATCCCACCTTAGAGAGCTGCTGGCCAATTGAATGGCCAGCTGGCTATGTCGTTCACCATACAGGAGTGGAGGCCATGGCTGGGACTACAGGCAGTCCCAATAAAAAGAAGCAGAGACTCAGGGACAAGCAGGTTCAGTAGGATCATGCCACCTATTTGTTCTTTTATTACTAGATTCTAAATGGAAGGTAAACATCTAATTATACTAGCTCTAAGATATGTCTGAAAAATAATATAGAAGTATGCATTTTTTTAGATACCAGTTAATGCCTCATCTATGCAATAAATTCAAAACAGAAAATTATCAAAGGCATTTCTAAGAAGTATAAATCAGAAAAAAATGGATGCCGCTTAGACAAAGGCAATTTGAATTTTGTAAAATTTTTGGTTAGACATTTTCCTACATAATTCAGTTTAAAAGTACTTTGCACCATAACTTTCTGCAAATGTGAAGTTAATAAGGTTGTGGTGAAAACAATAGGACATTGGGAACCTTAGTAAATGGAGGGGCAGCAGTGCATTTCCTTGAGATTTAAGAATGTAAAATGATACAGAGGAACAAAATAGGGAAAATATAGGGAAAAAGGTGAAATTAACCAAGAGAGGGAAAAAGGAGACACAAAGTAGTAAAACAATGACATTTTTACTTCTCTAACAACAATATACTACATGAAGAAATAAGATTTAACATTTTAAAAATTGTTCAGCACCAGAGACTGTCCTCAGGTAACAATCGATAGTGCTGTGTTTTTGTGTGTTGGTATAAATATGAACACCCTGGCTTTGAATGTCGGGACTAAGCATCACTTTTTTACAACAAAGATGATGTCAAGGAAGTATAGATCCAATGAGGGTAACAGAAGTCGACTGGCATTGCTTTAACAATTATCACCTAGTTAAATACCGCTTAGGTTGTTAAATTCAACCACTTACTTTATGTGGTAGGTTCAATGGGCAATTAATGTTTTATTCCAGTAAATTCTTAAAAAAATGAATTGGGAGGCACCATTTGTGCAAAGCAAACAGAGAATGGGATAAATCAAGCAGTAGGCTGATATTTACAAGCCACTATTATTCCAACAATATCCAGCCAATTGGGAAAGTTGATGAAAAGACTGGGCAAAGCAAAATGCTTTAAGAAAGTCTAAAAAGGAGTGGATAGATTTAGGGAGGAAATAACAAAATATAGCATCTAGACAGATTGAAGTTAGTAAAACACACACACACACACACACACACACACAAAAATAAATAGACTAAAAAGTTCTTGTACCATCAGCAGCAAGCAGCACATCAGTATGATCGTACAAATGAGCTATTTCTTCTTCTGACCAACAATATGGGTTCTTAGTGTCTGGAACAAAAAAAGGTAAAATAATGTATACAGATTTGAAATATACATGAAATATTTGCATTTCCTACCCAAAGACATATTTTAAGAAAAACAGAATATCGTATAGGAATCTAGCAATTACTTTTGGCAACATTAATGGGCCAATAGTTACAACTGCATGTTGCATGCAGTTTACTTTAAATTATGTTATTAATTTAATTAACGAGTAGGGAAAAGAAACTAAAGACACAGTCAAAGAGATGGTAAGTTTAGTGAGATGGCAAGTTGAAAGAATGGCCTCCAATGGCATCTTACAAGAAGTGAAGAAATAATCATAGTAACAACAACTTGCCTTCATGTAGTGGTATTAATGTAGAAAATAATAAAAGGAACACATCACTTTGAACACTTCATTTGTGACAAAACCATTTACCATAACTCCTTGTTTCCTATCTGTCAATCAATTTCCTGTCACTAATGCTACAATCTTCTTACACCACTTAAGTAAAATTGTTTCACAAAAAAACATTAGATACATTACTGAAAACTTTTTCAAAACGCAAGTAAACTATAATGACTGCATTTACTTTATCTGTTCAACCAGTCTCTTAAACACATCATTTATTGTTAACAAATATATGTTGGCTGTCCTTGATTGGCCCACAAACTTCGAAGCAGTGAATAATTTTATCTCGAATTACAGGCTCTGAAAGTAAGACAAATTGATCTATCCATATACATGATGTTGAGAAGCAAAGAAATCTGCTTGATGCTTTAGAAGCCAACAATGTCAGGGTCTGTGTGACAGTCATCTCCAATGACATAAGCTTCCTCCGTTTCATTGATGGATTTTGTTTACTTTTCTGACCAAGCCTCGAAAAATGCTGGAGATTATCCAAGTGCTTTTGTTAGTCTCATACTGTGTGGCAGCATCTTGACATTCTTAAAACAAAGTAGCTTTTTAGATTTTCCTATTACAAAAAGCAGCAGCTTTTCAATCCCATCCATGTTGGCACAGACCACAACAGTGACACATTCCATATTTCATCCATAAACATTAAAAAGCAATCTGGTAAAAGACAATAAAGCACTCACATTTCATCCACATTAAAAATGTCCCTTGGTACATAGTCTTTTTGGACTTCACAAGACCATTTTACAGTCAATCATCTGTAATTGCTGTCACAATTGCCACATGCTCATTGTGTACCATAAAGGAGATGATGGTGTGCCTTGTCTTGAACAAGACTTAGTCATCTATCTCTGCAGGCAACTCTTTGAAGTGCAGAATCTTTGCCAGGGCGACTCCCAATTCTTGCAAATTGGACCAAAGACAGGCACATTCTCTGCTCAAGCTGCCTTGAAAATGCTAGCAAATATCTTAGTCATCAGAAGTGGCAATTGTTCTTATCTTTGGTCTTCATCTTGCTGGAGAGAATACCAATTTATCAAACTGTTTCAACATTTTTATCCTGTGCTTTAGAATGGTTAAGAAACTTGATGGTGCAATCACCCATTCCTTTGCAATATTACACCAGTTTTTCATTTCCTGTATCAACTTCACTTCATCCATAATCAGTAACAATTTTAACTTGCTCACAGGTTTATTCACCTGTCCAACCAGTCTCTTAAAAACATCATTTATTGTTAACAAATATATGTTGGCTGTCCTTGATTGGCCCATAAACTTTGAAGCAGTGAATAATTTTATCTTGAATTACAGGCTCTGAAAGTAAGACGAATTGATCTATCCATATACATGGGTGACAGAGAGAGATCTTAGAGTCACAGTGTCATAGAGCTGTACGGCATGGAAACAGACCCGTTGGTCCAACTCATCCATGCCAACCAGATATGCTAAAATAAATCTAGTCCCATTTGGCCCATATCCGTCTAAACCCTTCCCATTCATATGCCCGTCCAAATGCCTTTTAAATGCTGTAATTGTACCAGCCTTCGCCACTTCCTCTGGCAGCTCATTCCATACACGCACCACCCTCTGCGTGTAAAAGTTGCCCCTTAGGTCCCTTTTAAATCTTTCCCCTCTCACCTTAAACCTATGCCCTCTGGTTCTGGATTCCGTCACCCTAGGGAAAAGACTTTGGCTATTCACCATATTCATGATTTTACAAACCTCTAAGTCATCCCTCAGCCTCCAACACTCCAGGGAAAATAGCCCCCGCCTATTCAGCCTCTCCCTATAGTTCAAACCCTCCAACCCTTGCAACATTCTTGTAAATCTTTTCTGAATCTTTTCAAGTTTCACAACAGCCTTCCTACAGCAGGGAGACCAGACTTGCACACAGTATTCTAAAACTGGCCTAACCAATGTCCTGTACAGGCACAACATGTCCTCCCAACTCCTACACTCAATACACTGACCAGTAAAGGTAAGCAGACCAAACACCTTCTTCACTATCCTGTCCACCGATGACTCCACTTTCAAGGAACAATGAACCTGCACTCCAACGTCTCTTTATTCAGCAACACTCCCCAGGACCTTACCATTACATGTATAAATCCTTTCCAAAATGCAGCACCTCACAATTATCTAGATTAAACTCCATCTGCCACTCCGGCCCATTGGCCTGTCTTATAAAGATCCCGTTGAACTCTGAGGTAATCATCTTCATTGTCCACTGCACTGCCAATCTTGATGACAAATAATGGCTCGCCTGTGAATTCATACTGTGACAAGTCCAAACTCTGCCCTAATTGATTGGCATGGTGCAAAGACCACACAGCTTTATTTTCTTCAGTTTTGGACTCTGGACTAATTGTAAGGAAGATACTGCTTTAAACCTAGGAGACAGTGTAAACAGATAGATGCAGTTTTCAAAATCATATTTACTGGAGCATGTTGTGAGTTGTACACAATGTTGCATTTTCATGGAACAGGAGAAGTGAACATCACAGAAGTGATGGGCTTTGAACTAAAAGAAGACTGCCTGACAATAAGTTTTGACTGGCTCCTGACTAAATGACCATGGCATGCATGGGTCGGGTGCAGAGAATCAAATAACCTGCAAAGAGAAAGCTTCAAAAAAAACCTCTTGTGCTTGTGTATCTCTCTCTCTCGTGAAGGGACTAGAAAGTCTCTAGTAATAGCTATCTTCCACTCACTTTTCTCTGTAAATCTCCTATTGAAGGAATATAATGTATTCAGAGACAATGAAAGATGAATTCTCAGTGAGTGAATAATATCCATGTCTTGTCTATCAATGTGGGTCATTTGTTTGTGAAGGGGAGAATTTAAAAAAGGGTAGAGGTTATATGTTAATAATTTATATTTCCTAACTATCAATGGTTAAAGACAACTTGTTTGTGATAAGCAGCTGTTTTCTTCCTAAGTACAGAAGCTTGGTGAATGTTTTCTTTTAACCCAAGTTCATCAGTCAGATATTAGGGATCTTGTATAATTTGACTAAATCTTTTCACATTTGTGATGAACTGGGAACAGTGGAGATTGATTTCTAGTGCACCACCCCAGTGAGTTATGATACTAGCCATATGAAAAGCTTGCATAAATTTGGCTAATCCAGAAATTTGACTTATCATGGGTATCTTTCTGTTGGGTTTCCTACTCTATTAGTGGGAATGGCTGACAACTTCGACACAACCAGAACTTTAGTCTATTCTATTTTAACTTAACACATCTTCATTTTTTTAACCTATTTTACCCTTATTTGGATTCTGGAGTCAACCGTATGCTACTAAAACTATTGCTGAGGCTGAGATAAGTTGATTCAGCACAGAGCAGGAATCAAACACAAACTTTCTATTGTTCTTCCCTCACAAGATAAAAAATATACAGTAATGTTGCATGAAGCAGACTCAGAGATATACAGCATGGAAACAGACTATTTGGGCCAACTCATCCATGCCAACCAACTTTCCTAAACTGAACTAGTCCCATCTGCCTGCAAATGGCTCCCTCCAAACCCTTCCTATCCATATACCTGTCCAAATGCTTTTTAAATGTTGTAATTGTACCCATCCCTACCACTTTCTCTGGCAGCTTATTCCACATACACAACACTCTCTGTGTGAACAAGTTGCCCCTTAGGTCCCTTTTAAATCTTTTCCCTCTCATCTTAAACCAATGCCCTCTAGTTTTGGACTCCCCTACCCTGGGGAAAAGACCTTGGCTGTTCACCTTATCTGTGCCCCTTGTGATTTTATAAACCTTTGTTAGGTCACCCCTCATCCTCTGATGCTCCAGGGAAAGAAAGTCCCCAGTCTATCCAGCCTCTCCTTATAACTAGCTCTCCCTGAATCTAATGTGATCTAATCCCACTAACCAGTCTACCATGCTTTACCTTGTCAAAGGCCTTGCTAAAGTCCATGTAGACAATGTCTACCATACTGTCCTCATCTATCTTCTTCATCACCTCTTCAAAAAAACTCAATCAAATACACAATTTCCCACACACAAAGCCATACTGACTGTCCCTAATCAGTCCTTGCCTTTCCAAATGCACGTAAATCCTGTCTTTCAGAATCCTGTCCAACAACCTACCCACCATTACATTACACTCACTGATCTGTACTTCCCTGGCTTTTTCTTGCAGCCTTTCTTAAATGATAATATCTTCCACTATTCTGGCACCTCACCTGCGGCTGTTGAAGATACCAATATTTTCGTTAGGAGCCCCACAGTTTCTTCCTTAGCTTCCCACAATGTCCTGGGATATATGTGATTGGATCCCAGGGATTCAGCTGCCTTCATGCATTTTAAGACCTCTAGCACATCCTTTTCTGTAATTTGATTTGATTTATTTGATTGATTTATTGTCACATGTATTTGTTACAGATAGTCAAAAGTGTCGCCACTCTCCGATGCCATTTTAAAACACAGAAATAAACTAGACAAAGAGTATAAAGGTAGAAGAATAAAGAAATAAAGTTAAAAGTTCAACATTACAGTCCTTCTTAAGTGCTTAGCCAAGAACCTGGATCTAGGCTTTTCCACCCTGATGCTGAGACCAACATCAGCACGAAGCAGTCAGCCAGCCTCGAGCTGCTTCGCCGCACCACCGTCTCAGAACTGTGTCGCCATTCTTCATCACCATCTTGTCTCTACCAACGCTGCTGCTGCCATGAGACCGTGCTGGGCCAATCTCAGCAATGCAGCTGTTGCTGAAGCTGCTGGGTCCTGCACTGGGCACTGGGCCCTGGGCCCAAATTCACCTCCTTTCGCAGCCGCTGGGAGAAAAACTTGACTCCCTCCACTGCCTTCAGGAATAAATCTTGCCTTCAATGCGCTGAACACCTTGATGCTGTCTGAGCTCTCCTCAAGAAGGTAAGGATAAAGTTTTTAAAAAAAAGCAGAGAAAGAAGGAAAACAAAAGGACTGCATGATCACCCCTCCAGTGCGCTCATGAAGGTGACTAGTGACCAGGACCCCATCAGACACACCCAAAATAACCTGTCCCACCAGAGGTCCAAACATCTTTGACCAATGCTACAGGCCAAAAATGCCTACCATTCCATCCCTTGTCCGCATTTTGGAAAATAAGATCACAACGCTGTGCTCCTCTTCCCAGCTAATGAGCTGAAATTGAAGCATGAGGACCCAGTATAGAGAGATGTACTGCTTAGAATCGGTGGACTGCTCCACACTCAACCAGAAGTTAATACAAATGTTCCCCAACCAGAAACCCAAGGATGGAAATGGCAGATGCACTCCCTACTGAAGTCCAGGGCTGAGGCATTCAATTTGGGCGACTCCTGACCTATACAGGAAATCCAGGTATGACCTTTGTAAGGCCATCAGAGATGCCAAGAGGCAATACCAAACTTATCTCGAGACCCAGTCTAACCACACAGGCCCCGGTTTGTTTGTGGCAAGACTTACACAACATAATGGGCTACAAAGCGAAGTTGAGCAGAATAATGGGCAACAAGACATTCCTACCCAATAAGCTTAATGCATTCTGTGCTTGCTTTCAACAGAAGGTCAGTGAAACAACATCACCTGTTCCAACAGCCTCAGATGCACCTGTATCCATGGTCATCACTGCAGATGTTAGATTGACCCTTCTTAAGGGTGAAACCATGGAAAGCGACTGGCCCGGATGGAGTTACCAGCTGTGCACTCAGATCCTATGTGGACCAGCTGGCAGGAGTATTCGCTGACATCTTTAACCTCTCCTAACTAACCCACCGAATTGAAGAAGACCACCATCATCCCGTTGGCAAAGAAAAATCATGCCGCATGCCTCAATGACTATTGCCTGGTGGCTCTGCCCTCCATAACTATGAAGTGCCCCGAGGTTATTCATGACTCACATCAACTCGAGCCTACTTGATACTTTGTAATTCGCCTACTGCTGCAACAGGTCAACAGCAGAAACCATCTCCCTTGCCCCACAATCATCCCTGGAACATTTGGATAACAAGAATACCTACGTCAGGCTCCAAATTATTGATTACAGCTCTACCTTCAACACCATAATTCCAAACAAACTCATCTCCAAACCCCCAGGCCTAGGTCTCAGCTCTCCCTCTGTAACTGGAACCTTGCCTTCCTGATCCATAGACCGCAATCAATAAGAACCGCAATCAATAGGAATAGACAACTCATCCTCCACCATAATCCTCAACACCGGTTTCCTGCAAGGCTGCATACTCAGATCCTTACTGTAACCCTTAAACACACTTGACCGTGTGGCCAAATTCCACCCCAACTCTATTTACAAGTTTGCTGATGACACCATCATTGTAGCTTGGATTGCAAACAATCACGATACAGAATACAGAAAAGAGATTCAGTGCTTAGCATCATGATGTCAAGACAACAATCTCTCCATCAAAGTCAACACAACATAGGAGCTGGTCAATGACTTCAGGAAGCGGAGTGGAGGGCACACCCTTGTCTGCATTAATGATGCTGAGGTGGAGATGGCTGAGACCCTCAAGTTCCTGAGAGTGATGATCACCAACAATCTGTTCTGGTCCACCCACATCAATGCTATAATCAAGAAAGCACAACAACGCCTCTACATCCTCAGGGGACTAAAGAAATTCAGCATTTCCACAGAGTCTTAGCAATTTTTACAGATGCACTATAGGAAGCATGCTCTCTAGATGCATCACAGCATGGTATGGCAACTGCTCTTCCCTAGACTGCAAGAAACTACAGAGTCGTGAACACAGCCCAAACTGTCACACAAACCAGCCTTCCATCCATTGATGCCATCTATACTTCCCGCTGCCTCGGGAAAGCAACCAACATAATCAAAGATCCCACTCACCGGTTAAGTTTGAATACATGTCTCGACCACTGTTATCAGACTTTTGAACAGACCTCTCAAATGTTAATGTTGATCTTTCCCTCTGCACATTCTCTGTGGCTACTACACTGTATTCTGTACTCTGCTACCCATTTGCACTTTTGTATGGTACAATCCACCTGTACAGCATGCAAAACAACACTTTTCACTGTATCTCCATACGTGACAACAATAAATCAAATTGAAGAGCAGATGAGCACTGGGCTCCTGAGCCCAAAAGCTGCATTGTTAAGATATCATTATTACATAGAACCTGATTCGGAGGTAGATAAATTTTTAAAATATCTGAGTTTTGAAGGCAACATCAAGCTGACACAAAAGAGGAGTTGAGGCCTGGGGCAGATCAGACATGACCTTATAGAATGGCATGGCTAGCTTGAGTGGCTGAATGGCCTTCCCTGCTTGTGTTTCTTATATTTTATGTTCTTAATTACAAGAATGACTTAAAATAACAAATCTATTCACATTACCACGTGTAAACAACCAGTATTCTAGTACTGGGCTCAACTGAGAGCAATGACCAATGTAAATTCTTCCAAATCTTTGATATTTGTTTCTCTGTAAAGCAACATTGCTTGAATTTGGGACCAACCCAACTAAACCGTAATCACACTGAAAACAACCAATGCTGGAGATCACAGCGGGTTAGACAGCATCCATGGAGAGACGGCACACTACCGTTTCCAGTCTAGATGACTCTTCATCAAAGCTGAAGTGAAGTGTGGAGGGGACAGCATTTATGCTATAGTTTTGGTGGGGGGGGTGTTGGTGTGGTTAGTGGGATAGTGTGCTGGTGAAACTTAATCACACCTCACTGTGGCAAAAAAAGGATAAATAAGTCATGAGTCAAAGGCACTCCAACTTGTACTTCTTTTTAACTCCTTAGAATGTATTTTGAGCAATGTGTAATAAGATAGATAATAGTCCGATAGTATTGATCTCTTACCTGTACATAATTCATCTCTCAACCAATCCAGTTCCCTTACTTTAATTTCACTTCCTGTTGATTCATGCACAAGATAAAATATTTCGTTATAATTTAGGAAAAATTAAATGAAGAAAAACAATGCAAATCCACAAACTGTGAAATTATCCAACAGTATACCATGCCTTTATAAATATCCTCACAGGGTCATCAATTCGCTTTAGGATACATTCCTCAATCACAAGAAAGCTGCACTTTGGGGCTTTAAATGCTGTTCCCTTCAAGGATAGAATTGGAGAATTTATCCTTTAGCTTCATCACCAAAAATCAAATTTTGCAATTTTTTTCTTTTTTTAAATTATTTATTTGAATGAGAGAAGGCTATTTGTTTTATATCAAGACATCCTAGAGACCACAGAATTTGTGACTTTTTTTTGTATTTTGGCAAAGAACTGACCAACATCTCCATTATACTTTTTAAATGCCACTTTACAATATTCTACAAAATTTCTGAGCAATTTAATCACACTCAAATAATTATAATAATTGCCCAAAATCTGAAATGCAAGTGCCACAAATTTTAAACTTGAGAAAATCATCTTCGATTCATCTTCATATGACAGCTCTTATGACATGATTCTGATGACATCCTAGTCTCAGAATATAATTATGTTTTTTTTGTTTCCAAATGTTAGAAATAACCCCACCTAATAAACTTCTTGCAACTTTCCATGACTGGTGGACTGACAGATCATTGCTTAGCACTAACTCCTGCTGCCAAGAACCTCCAACGATGGGAAGAAGGAAGTGCCTAAATGGTACTTGACTTTGTCAGAACGATCCTACAGAACTGAAGGAAACTGCCAATTGATTCTGATTGGATAGCAAGACTCCAATTGACCTAACACAATCTCCACCATTAACTCTGATAGACCAATGCTGCCATATTTTGGCTGTGTTTGCAGTATCTTCTCAAGCCATCCCTGGATTCCCCAGAGGATGTATGCAACCCTTGGCTGGTCTCATCTATAGTCAGAAATCAGTTTTGGTACTGTTACATTCACTAGATAATGGATCCTTATACACAAATCTTTTATCTCATATTTTTCCTGTGCTGATAACTGAAGTGAGGTATCTGTTAGCACCATTACTCTTCCGGCTCATATTTCAGAGTGAAATCGTAACTTTGAAGCCATAAGGGAAACTTTCACTAGTGCTAGTGCTTTACACAGACTTTTCTTGTAAATTTTGAGCGGATGCTGATCACTCTCCACTATGAACATTTCCCCCAAGGAGAAATGTTTGGAACTTTTCACTTCCAAAAGCTCTCATTCTCTATGGTCATATCTGGTCTCAGTTTATGAATGTCAAATCTATTATCTTCCTTCTTGTAACAGGGCTACTTCCAATCCTTTTGTAGAAGCATCTTCTTGCAGAGTGGCTAGAAGGTTTTTCTCTGTTGTAGTATGACAGACTTGTTGAAATTTTCATGTAACTAAGACCAGTAGTATTCAACATTCTCCTCAGCTGTCATAGGTTTATTGTGTGTTCTGACAGGTGGTGCATTAATCCCAGTCCATGCAGTGGAGTCTGGTCTTCAATCACCTTGCCACTGGACAAAGACCTTCTTCCATCAGGACTGTGTGGTAGTCAGTGTGCATTAGCCATCTGACATTAAAAGAACCCATAGATGGGCATCTTCCACCCTCTTAAAATAAAGTTCTGGATCTGGAAGATCAGGATCCATGCAGATAACTCCAGCAATGACAGACCGGGATGTCGCACAGCTATCATAGGCACTATGGCACTGACATTGCTGTCCTGATCAAGACATGACAGGCAGGAGAAGGCTCAAAGAACAGGCAGATACACCTTCTTTTGGGAAGGTAAGCTAGAAGTCCAGTTGGTTTGGCCATAAGGAAAACACTTTCCAGTCTCAGCAAGTACCCTAGTGAGATAAATGAATGCTTCATGACTCTTTGGCTCATCCTACCCAGAAGCAATACACCACAATTATCAGTGCAATAACCCCAATCCTTGCTGCAAAGTATGAGGCCAAAGATGAATTCTACTGCAGCCTTGATCAGTCACTGAATGGGTTCCAAATGAATTTATTTTGTCAGAAAGAAAAATACAAGACCTCATGACAATACCCTCGGACCAGATATTGATATCAGATTGACTACGTCATCATGCAAGCAATGGACTGCAAGGATGTCTGCATTACCCACGCCTCAACAGGAGCTGAATACTGCTGGATTGACTGTCTCCATCTAGTTGACTATCTCCATTAGCCTGGCCCAAAACGGAAGCTGCTACAGGAAATTCAATGTCAATTTATTCCAGTGACTCTCTGAAGTCAGTACCTTACAGTGAACCTGACGCGTTGAATGAACAAGAACCACAGAGTTCCTGCCCTTAAATCCATTGTAAACAGCACTTGCAAGGAGACTCTTGGTTTCTTTACCAGGAAAAATACAGATGGATTTGACAAGAAGGACCAGGTGATCCACAAGCTACTAAACTGCAAACATATGGCGTTGCTGAACTGAAAGCTAAATGACGAGTGAAGGAAAGCAGGTCCATAGACAGCTAAAGGCTATGGTCCAACAAAAAACCTTTGACCTAGAAATGGCTTTTTGAAAGAAATCCAGCAACTCAGTGACAACCATGTGTGCATGAATTCTTTAGTGCAGTCAGGACTATCTATGGTCCAAGCACTTAAAGACCACTGAGGGATAGGAATGAAATGTATTCATCAAGGTCAGAGAAGCAGTCAGTGCAGTTGGGATAAGCACTTTAAAAATCTCAACTGAGACTTAGTCCTCAACAAAATTGCCGTTGACCTCATCCACAGCATGCTACTGTCACCATGACATTGAAATGCCATCCAACAAGAAAGAACCAGCAGATGGAATCCCTGGTGAAATACCAAAAATAAAGTTGAGAATGACTCTTGGCACGAATACATGATCTCATCTCACTCATTTGGAAGGAGGGGAACATGCCAAGGGATCTCTGAGATGCCATAAGAAAAGAGAAGAGTTTCCATGCTGCCCACCACAGGGAAGGTCATCGTAAGAATCGTCCTCAGTCACCTCCTTCCAGTGGCTGACCTTCTGGAATCACAATGCAGATTTTGTCCATCAAGTGGCATGGTGAAAATGATCTTCATAGCAAGCCAAGTCCAAGATAAATGCAGAGAACAGTAGCAACCTCTATACATGGTCTTCTTTGACCTCTAAAAGGCCTTCCACTCTCAATTGGAGGGATCATGCAGTGCCCTCAAATTTACCTGCCTGCAATAATTTATCACCGTTGTCTGTAATCAACAACATTTAAGTCATGATTCTCCCCAGTGCATCCATCATTGACCTGTGCAAAAAATACTTTTGCAAACTGATTGATTCCGGGGCTGAACAGATTATCCTAACGAGAGGCTGGACAGATAGGACGTGTATCTTTTGGAATTTAGGAAAATGACAGTTGATCTTTTTGTGACATGTAAAATCCTGTGAGGACTTGACAGGGTGGATGCTCTCCTTGTGGGAGAGACTAGAAGTGGGGGACAGAATTTAAATATTTGGCTGTCCCACTTATCTCAGGTTACATAGAAGTATTTTCTGTTAGAAGGTTGCGAGTCTGTGGAATTCACTTCTTTACAGAGTGGTGGAGGCAGGTCATCGAATATTTTTAAGACAGAAGGTAGATAAACTCCTGACTAACAAAGGGAATCAAAATACAGGCTAGGCAGGAAAAGTGAAATTGAGGCCACAATGAGATCAGATATGATCTTATCAAATTGTGGAGCAAGTTCAAGAGATTGAATGGACTACTACTGCTCCTAATTTGTATGCTTGCAATCTGTGTGCACCTCATCTACTTTCTGCTGGAAAATATTCTGGCTCACTTTAAACTAAAAAGGTGGATTGAGGAATTTGTACTGACCAAATAGTGTTTTAAATGCTGTCAAGCTTCCTGGCCAAGCTTCACAATCCTGGAGCTTTTTTTGGTATCAATCTTTCTGAAAACATTTGCATTTTCAAATGCTGACATAATCTCTTCCAGTCTTGGAACAGGGAAGTGACTTCTCTTTATAGTTTGATTAAGATCTTTGAGATCCAAATAAATTGTTTGCTGTACATTTGGCTTCTCTCTCAATATTTTGGGATTTATTTAATTTGAAGGTTCTGGTGATCCCCCTTTTCTCTAGCATCTTGTCGAGCTCCTTCAAGCTCTTCTGTTTGTTTTACAGTACTGTACAGTTTTTTTTATTCATTCACAGGATGAGGGGGTCACTGGCTAGGCCAGCATTTATTGCCCATCCCTAAGAGTCAACCTCATTGCTGTGGGTCTGGAGCCACTTGTAGACCAGATCAAGCAAGGATGGCAGTTGTTGAAAAATTCCAGTCCACTAAAGTTTAACATAATTTTTACAGAAAAAAATTCCTACATCAGTAATAAATCACACTTTAAGGAATTCTGATGTGCTTTCAAAAAGAATGCTTCTACAGCCAAAACTACAGAGAATACATCAAAGTGCATTGTTGTCAAGGACACCAAAATCCATTCTGACACAAACAATGCACTGCTGTACTTCTGACAATGGCGTTACTCCCACAAGTGCATAATAAAGCACAATCACTTCATCACATGGCAGGGTAAGTCAGCCAAATTCAAAATTATGCCAATTTATAAGATTTCAACAAAGTTTCTTAACTTTTAAAGCCAACAACAAAAGACGTGAAAAACTAACTTTGGTGAATGAATCAGCCAGATTTTTCTGAAGTGCAGTCGTATTCTCCTTTCCCATTTATTCTCTTGTTCCTTTTAAATACTGTTCATCTTAACATCTTCTAGTTCCCAGGAAAGGTCTAAGTCTGAAACATCAGTTTTTGTTCTATTCATAGCTATTGCCTGTAACATACCTCATTATGTGTCATAAGATCCTGTTTGCTTGCTCTGAAATTATTTCAGATGGTGCTAGACATTTAGGAGCATTTTCTAATTAAATCTTAGGTTCCTCTCCTTTATCTTTTTCTGTGGACTGTTGCTGTTGTTATAGTTTCTGCATGTCACATTTGTAGGATTATAATATCTGATTTGCAGTGAGACTATAGCCTAGTGGTATTACCATTACAGTATCAACCATGAAACCCAGTTAATGGCCTTGGCACCCAGGTTCAAATACCTCCATGGCTGGTGGTGAAATCTGAATAAAATAAAAATCTGGAATTAAGAGTCTAATAACGATCTTATTAAATGCCTCATGAAAACCCTGATACTTCACATCCATGGTTGCTTTTTTATTCACCCTGGTAGTTATACATAAATATCTCAAACAAAAACAATGTTGTCACTGATTATCCAGATTGCGATTTTCCTAGATTATTCTACCGTGTCCCTAGTGATAAATTCTAGCATTTTAGCTACTACTGATGTCAGGTTAAGTGACCTGTAGTTTTCTTTTCTCCTCTCTCTATCCTTTCTTTAGTAACAAAGTTACATGTGTTACGTATCAAGCCATGGGTTTCTTCTTGAATATTGGGAATGCTGTAAGATCAAAATCAATAAATCCACCAGGTCTGTAGTCACTGCTTTGAAACTCTAGGATGTAGGATTTTGTCCAAGGGATTTATCAGCTATCAGTCAAATTACACTTCTCCAGCATGTAGATACAAAATATTTATAAAAATCTCTTTCATTTCCTTATTCCTAATGTTAGTTTCTCCTGATGGAGTACTAAGTGTCTGGAACGGACACAAATTCTTTTCAAAATCCCTTTGTTTTCACATATTTAGAAAAGCTCTTACAATCAGATTTATGATTCTTGCTAGCTTAGTCTTATTCTATTCCTTTTTACCACATTTTTTGGTTATCCTTTGCTAATTCCTAACATCATCCCATTCCTCAGGCTTATTACTCTTTACAGTACTACCATAACCCCCTCTTTTAATGTGATACTATCATTTAGCACAATTGGATCTTATTTTCCCTGGAGCTTTTATTTCTCATGGTTGTTTATCGAAAATTACATATTTTATCTTTAAATTATCAACAACACATGTCTACAACAATAACTTTTGACCAAATTTCCCAAGCTAACCTTAGCCATTTTATGTTAATTGGCTTTGTTTGATTAGACTATAGTTTTAGACATAATCAAATAACTCGTAAACTCCTAAACAATATGAAATTGCACAATGGTCATGCCTCCACACAGGATCATTTACCGTAAGTTCAGTAATGTACCTCTCCCATTACACAATGCCAAATATTAAACAATTAATGTTCTGAAGACAGATCATGGACTCAAAACGTTAACTCTATCTTCTCTCTGCAGGTACTTCCAGACTTGCTCAGCTTCTCCAGCAATATTTTGTGTGTATCAAACAATTGGTTCATACTTATCTCCTCAGCCAATTTCTTGACCTGGTTTAGTATTTCCTGTATCCATCCCTATCTTTATTCATAGCTGCAATTTAAGTACTTATTATAAGACAATTTTTTGTTATCGTTATTAAGCCACTTAGTACTACATTCACTTTGCAGGTTTCTAATTAGGTGTCTGAACATATTTTTTTTTTCTTTTGCATCAATCCTATCTTGCAGTGCATGCCAATCCAGCACTCCTGGTTTCCTCAAATCCTTCGTGTCCCTTCAAAATCTATTTTCCTATAATTAAAGGAACCTGTACACACTTCTCTACTGTAACTAATTTCAATCTTCATAATATTACTAATAGTACTGATAGATCACTTATTTGCTTCTCTTTTTACTTGACCACTGGCATCATGAAAGAAAATTTAAAACTACCATCTCCATTGTAACTTTATTAGCTTTTTAATATATTTTCTGGATTTCAACATAAAATTTGCTATCTATATACTGTGCATGATTTAATGACCTACAATACTTCAGAACTAGTTTTATTTAATATGAATTAATAGAAACACAATTATTTGCCTGACACAAACTGTACTCAGGGAACCATATCTATGCTGGACCAGATAGGAGCAAGGCTCGTGTGATTTTGGGTATCAAGCCTCATTTAGATTGGATTCTGGAATAAAGACAAAAGCTAACTGTTAAATCAGACTGCTGCATCTTGAGAGCATCATTCCTTCTTCTCGAGAATCAAGTTGGGATCAGACTCTCAATTTACATTACAGCCTTACTGTTGATGCAGCACAATTCACACTGATGCTACAGATACAGTGCAAGTAAGTGAAATCTTACATCTAGACCTAGTATTTTAGCAATAATGTGTGTGGATGCCATTGCTTTGGAAATAATTCAATTTTACCAATAACTATCCTAATTGATTGGAATTACAACAAGTAAATTGCAGTTACTTTACTCCACTTCTTTCAAAGCACCTCAACTTACCTGCCGCCTCATAGATATTCTTGTTTACAATGATATTTCTTTCACACATGTTCAGTAGGTCTTCACCAACATCTAGAAATATAAAAAGCAAATACTCAGCACTACAAAAGCAGCTTTTTATACATGTAGTACAGCACTTTAAATGAGAATTGAAGAATGGTAGTGTGCTTAACACAAGCCTGACAAACATGGGAACTCATTATTGTGCTTAGATCCAAATTTACACCAATAAAGTTTCCATTTGCCCAATGCAAACAGCGCACGTTTTGCATATACACATACCCCATTCCTTCAGGTTCATGAAACTTGGTCACAAGTTAGGAAACCAAGGCCGAGGGACTCCCCACTGTGTTTGGGCATGCTGCTGGAACTTAGTGGGTTATTATAACTAATAGTTAACTGAGTACTGAATACTGAGAGATAGCAAGAACTGCAGATGCTGGAGTCAGAGACAACACAGTGTGGAGCTGGAGGAACACAGCAGGCCAGACAGCATCAGAGGAACAGGAAAGCTGACGTTTCGGGTCGGGACCCTTCTTCAGAAATGGGGAGGGGTAAGGGAGCTCAGAAATAAATAGAGAGAGGAGGAGTGGGGCTGGGGAAGGAAGGTGGGATGGTGATAGGTGAGTGCAGGTAGGGAGTGATGGGGATTGATCAGTGGGATGGATGGGGTGGATAGATGGGAGAGAAGATGGACAGGTTGTGTCAAGCCAAGGAGGCAGGGATGAGAGGGAGGGTTGGACATGGGATGAGGCCAGAGGTGGGGAGAGTTGAAAACTGGTAAATTCCATGTTGCAGCCATCCGGATGTAGGCTCCTGAGGCAGAATATGAGGTGTTGCTTCTCCAGTTTGCGTGTGGTGTCATTGTGGCACTGGAGGAGGCCCAGGATGGACACGTCACCCAGGGACGGGGAGTTAAAATGGTTGGCGACCGGAAGATGTCATTTGTCATGTACAGAGCGCAGATGTTCTACGAAACGGTCTCCGAGTGTACACTTGGTCTCACCGATGTAGAGGAGGCCTCATTGCGAGCAGTGGATACAGTGGACCAACGTGGCAGATGTACAGGTGAACCGCTGTCTGATATGAAAGGGGATGGGTGGTGTAGGGGCAGGTGTAGCATACGGTAAATGGAAAAGCCCTGGGGAAAATTGATGCACAGAGAGATCTGGGTGTTCAGGTCCATTGTACCCTGAAGGTGGCAACGCAGGTTGATAGAGTGGTCAAGAAGGCATACGGCATGCTTTCATTCATCGAACAGGGTATTGAGCACAAGAGTTGGCAGGTCATGTTACAGTTGTATAGGACTTTGGTTCGACTACATTTGGAATACTGCGTCCAGTTCTGGTCGCCACATTACCAAAAGGATGTGGATGCTTTGGAGAGGGTGCAGAGGAGGTTCACCAGGATGTTGCCTGGTATGGAGGGCGCTAGCTATGAAGAGAGGTTGAGTAGATTAGGATAATTTACATTAGAAAGACGAAGGTTGAGGGGGGACCTGATTGAGGTCTACAAAATCATGAGAGGTACAGACAGGGTGGATAGCAAGAAGCTTCTTCCCAGAGTGGGGGACTCAATTACTAGGGGTCACGATTTCAAGGTGAGAGGGGAAAAGTTAAAGGGTGATATGCGTGGAAAGTTCTTTACGCAGAGGGTGGTGGGTGCCTGGAACACGTTGCCAGTGGAGGTGGTAGAGGCAGGCACGAATAGCGTCATTTAAGATGTATCTAGACAGATACATGAATGGGCAGGGAGCAGAGGGATACAGATCCTTGGAAAATAGGTGACAAGTTTAGATAGAGGATCTGGATTGGCGCAGGCTTGGAGGGCCGAAGGGCCTGTTCCTGTGCTGTAATTTTCTTTGTTCTTTGTTCCTGTAGTGGCAGGGAAAGGTGCCGGGTACATCCTGTACATCCGCCAACTTGGTCTACTGTATCCGCTGCTCCCGATGTGGCCTCCTCTACATCGGTGAGACCAAGTGTAGACTCGGATACTGTCTTGTAGAGCATCTGCGCTCTGTATGTGACAAACGACAACACCTTCCGGTCGCCAACTATTTTAACTCCCCCTCCCACTCCCTTCCTGACATTTCCATCCTGGGCCTCCTCCAGTGTCACAACGACACCACCTGCAAACTGGAGGAGCAACACCTCATATTCTGCCTTGGAAGCCTACAGCCCAATGGCTGAAACATGGAATTTACCAGTTTTCAAATCTCGCCAGCCCCGGCCTCATCCCATGGCTAACCCTCCCTCTCATCCCCACCTCCTTGACCTGACACAACCTGTCCATCTTCTCTCCCACCTATCCGCACCACCCATCCCACTGACCAATCTCCATCACTCACCACCTGCAATCACCTATCACCATCCCACCTTCCTTCCCCAGCCCCACTCCTCCTCTCTCTATTTATTTCTGAGCTCCCTTCCCCCTCCCCATTTCTGAAGAAGGGTCCTGACCCGAAACGTCAACTTTCCTGCTCCTCTGATGCTGCCTGGCCTGCTGTGTTCCTCCAGCTCCACACTGTGTTGTGTCTAATACTGAATACTGTTTGGCTTTAAGCTGCTTGTTCAACTAAGACAATGCCTACTCAGAAGTGCATGGAGTAAATAGAAAGAATCCCAATCCTATTAGTGGATTTTCCCTCAGGTTGCATCATGAAGCCAGGCCAAGTGAAATGCATCAACTGTGCCCTGAGAACAATAAATCTACTTGGATTAGCCTTCAGATTAACAAATCAGATACTGATCTGGTTTCCGAAATTTCACCACCAGGTATGCCAGCTGACAGCTAAGTTCAAACTCAAAAATAGCCAGTTATTATCCTTCAGAACAGTACTAGAAACAGGAGTAGTTTAACCAGCCATTCCAGTGTGCCCCACATTCAGTTAGGTAATGATTTATATCAATTCAATTCTGTTTACCTGTTTACATTCCATTCTGATAACCCATCCTGAAGAAAAATCTATCTTGGTTTTGTAACTTGCTAATTCACTTGTAACCTTTTGGGAGAGTTCAGCATTTCTACTACCCTTTTTAATAAAAAGTGCTTCCTAAATTTGCTCTTGAATAGTCAGACTCTGACATTAAGATTACATCACCTTGATTTTGATTTCATCACTAGAGGAAATAGTCTAACTGTATCCACCCTATCAAATTCTCTTACAATGTTTAACACTTCAATTAGATCACCTTCAAAACACAAGGCAACAAAGGACAAGTTTATGCCAACTATTTTCATACTTTAACCCTCAAAGCACTATTATAATTCTGATGCATTTGCAAGGCTAATGTATCCTTCCTGCAGTGTAGTCCCAAAGGGCAATGCAGTATTCCAAATCATCTGACCATGGTGCTCTAACAGCTGAAGCATCACTTTTTTCTTTATTGTATTTTCACCTAACTAAAGTAAATGTAACAATCTTATTAGGATGTACAGTTGTTTAGCAAAAACTCTCCAGTTTTGTTCTCCAGAATCTTGACTATGGTTTACAGAATTTTGAGGCACCCATTATTTCCTTGCCAGTATCTATTCTGCTACTTCATTGTTCCATCTTTGCCTGTGCTTCACTTACCATCCATGAGCCTTTTAGCTTTTCTGCAAGCTATGGGTTATGTATTGCTTCTAGCTCTGTCATGCTTTATATTTTTCTTCATTTTCTGTTTGCTCCATTTGCCTCTCTGCCTTAATAAAATTAGCTCTTCACCTATTCCCACTTAATCACATTAATTCCCTTGTGTCTTGTTCTGGTTTAAATGCATCTTTATTTAAAAACAAAAACCATAGCATAATTAACTAGAAATTATATTACAGCGCAAAACAACATTAGAAAACATCTTGATTCACATGAGTTACTATCCAGAATACAGGCTGATTTGTTAGCAGCTTCTCACCACATGTGCACACACTGATCGTACAATTTCAAAAGGTATTTAATCATGGATTGTCTATACCAATAGGTCTATGTTAATCTATTACCTAACCAGGTTTCTATCCTACCTGTGCAATAAATAGTCTTAGCAACAGTTGCCATGACAATGCTGGTCAATCCTGTGCCTGCTCCCAGCTCCAGCACTGTGCAGTCTCTGAATAGGTAACTATTATTCAAAATATAATCAGCAAGAAGGAAGGCTCCACGCCATACCTACCGATGAGAAGAGTGCAATGAGAAGGGATTGTTAAAAGAATGTGTATAAATATGTATGTATATAGGAACTATAGGATGCAAGCACTGTACCTGTTTTCCAACATCCTCCAAAGTAGTATCCATGGTGTGTTCTGTAAAAAGAAAATAATACAACATATTGTATTCAATGAGACAAACCTCACATGGCATTCATAATACAAAATTAACCAATCACATCATCAGAACATTAGATAAGGTTGCCAGAATACCAATCATACCTCCTGTTTTAATATGATGGCTGTCATGTTCATGGAGCTCATAATGCCTTTTCCAGTGCTTATCTACTATATATTAAAAACACAGTGCATCATAACTTTCCATTTCAAATTGTAAATAACTATTATACTATATATTTCCAATCTGTGTGTATATATGTATATACATGTGAAGTAAAATAAAGTTATCATAGTTCCAGAGGACCATAGCGCTGTGCTCACATTAGAGAGAGATGCCTGGTGGTGGTTTAACTGGAGGGTTGCCATGCCTCAGGTGAGGAGAGCGGTTAAGAAGGTGGGGCCTTCATGGTAACCTCAGCCAGCACAAGAATTGAACCCCGCTATTGGTATCACTCAGCATCACAAGCCAGCCTGCCAGCCAATTGAGCAGGTGAGGACTTTGCCACCTTCCCACCTCTGCCTTGATTACATTTGGGGTGTCAAGGCTCATGGGCAATGGATGAGAACAATCAGAAATGAGCAAGAAGCTAGAATTAGAGGAGCGCACACATCTTGAGGATTTGTAGGGTTGGAAGAAGATGCCTAGATAGGAAGGGGGCAAGGTCATGAGATTTGAAAAAGAGGTACAAGTATGTTAAAATTGAGGCATTATTAAAATGGAAACCAATTTTGGTCTGCAAGCAGAGTGGATAGGTGAATGAGATTTGAAGAGTTAAGATATAGGCAGCAAAATTTTAGATGAGTACTCGCTTATGTAGGGTGGACATTAGGAAACTAAGCCACATAGGTGTGTGTCCATAAGTTAGATCATGATAGTTACACCTTGAAATGCAATGGGAGCGGAAACAATATTTTGATAAATGTAGATTTCAAGTTGGAGGTTAATAACGTTGACATAGTGAAACTAGGAACAAATTCATGACCTGGTGTCAAGACAGGTGAGTTATACCAGAGGTTATACCACCTGGAGAACAGTGAAGTGTGTAGTTCCAAAAAAAAAAATATTTTTGTGGTTGTGTTGAAACAATTGTACTGAGTCAGCAGCACCACATGAAGAGGACACATCTACTGTATACCCCAAAGAATCATTGCTGGAAAGTCTGATTAAAAAATCCAATAAAATTTATGAGGTGCCTTTTCTCTCATAATCAGAACAGTAGATCAAAAATTGTTGTTTAAATCACCAGCTGTGTTTCAATGGAGATAACAGCCAGAGACTATGAAGCATTTCTTTTTAAAACGGGCATCTCCACAGCTTACTCTACACATTAATATTTAATGGAAGTCTCCACAGCCTCGACAACACATTGACAACCCACTGAAATTGACTGAGTGACATCAACTTTGGTGTCAATATCATTCAATGTGATAACAGTGCCTGGTAGTGTGATAGACAATAACATATTATCAAAACAAATATATTTTCAAGTTCTCATTAGCATTGATTATCTTTCTTAACATCTCTCTTCTCAGTGATATCAAGTCCCAGAGACTACTCTACCTTTAATTAAACCCTACTTCAGCCAAATAGACCCTGGATATTTGTCTGAGTGTAACAATAGCTGAGGAGCACCACTGCAGATTAATTACAGCTGTCATATTTCGAGCCAAAAGAATTTTTATTATTTAAAGTTTTTGAGAAGATGTGTAGCTCAGGTTGTGGATGAGCTTGTAGACTTGTTCACCGAGCCGGTGTGTTTGGTTGCAGACGTTTAGTCACCCTGCTAGGCAACATCGTCAGTGCGCCTCTGGTGAAGTGTCAGCGTTCTGTCCTGCTTGTTATTTATGTGCCTCGGTTTGCTGGAGTGGTTGGCATCACTTCTGGTTCTATGTTTGAGTGGTTTGTATATCGGGTCCAGTTCAATGTCTTTGTTGATGGATTTCCCTTTGGAATGCCAGGCCTCCAGGAATTCCCTGGCATCTCTCTGTTTGGTTTGTACTATCATGGGTGTGTTGTCCCAGTCGAATTTGTGCCCTTCTTTGTCTGTGTGTATTGAGACCAGTGAGAATTGGTCGTGTCTCTTGGTGGCCTGTTGGTGTTCATGTATCCTTATGGTTAGTTTTCTTCCGGTTTGGCCTCGGCAAGCATGTCTACAACCTCTATTTTTACTATTAATAATCAAATCATGTCCCAAAGTTGCCTCCAATTACACATGCTCTCATTTTTGCTAGTATGATCTTTTGTGCAAAACCATATCAAAGTTCTTCTGGAAATCCTGAAAACCACTTCCATAGACACATCTCTATTCAAATTATTAGCGAATTCTGCTAAAAATAAATTGTATTGTATATGTCAGACATGCCCTGCACATTACTCTCCAACTTGACTCTTGATCTGCTCAGATGTGTCCAAATGCTGAATCTTTATTCCTGATTATAGACTCCAGTAGCTTTGCCATAATTGACTTAACACTTCTAAGGCTGTAATTTCCTGCTTCTTCCCTCATGTCTTAAAGATGGTGCAACATTTGCAATTTCTCAATCCAAAGGCAAAAGCTCTGAAACTAACTCATCTGCAATTTTTTCAGCTGTGTCTTTTAATATATCAGAATGAAGCCGGATGAGTTGTCAAGCATAAGTCTCACAAATACTATATACTTTTAAACATATTGAACGCACTAATTTCTTCCCCTTTACTTGATTTTAGGTTCCCTTGTGTTGCTATTTTGTCCTTTTCTTCTACTGTGAACACAGATACACATTACTAATTCAATAAACCTGCCTTTTACTTATTATCCAATAAAGCCTCCCCTGCATCTGGCATTAAATAAGGCTCACATTTTCCTTTTGCTACTCTTTCTTATAATATATTTATAAAAGCTTTTAAATTCCCTTTTTCTATTATAGCAACACAAACCTAAGAACTCTTGTCCAAAGTGAACATCTGGAAGTGGATTTTCACTGAGTCAGGAAGATTCATAGACCTTTAAAAATGATGGGCAAGATTTGAGTGAGGACTTCTCACCTCATTTCCAACAGAAATGAGGGTGACAAATTTTCAAATGTTGGGGCAAGGTGTGTGGAGCATGAATTACACATCTGCAGGGACATTTGAACTTAGCACTGAATTCAAACATATCTCATTTTGGTTGGTTCGAGTGTCTTAACCCACAGTGTTGGAATCACAAACTCATTAAGAATGGATCAGGTTTGCTTAAACGTCTTGATCTGAAGATTTTGAATTTCTCTGCTCTGATGGACAAGCCATCTGGTGTAGATTAGAAGAAACGTGACTATCCATTTGTGCAATTGCAAGAGTTCTCTGTTGACACTTTCCAAGTGTTATTATCATGTCATTATGACATAATTAATGCTTGACTGAATTTCCATAATTACAATTTTCAAAGCAAGGATTTCTGAGTTCACTGTTTGATTGACAGTCTAAAGAGTATATTAAGGGATTACAAGGTGTAGAGCTGGATGAACACAGCAGGCCAAGCAACATCAGAGGAGCAGGAAAGCTGATGTTTCGGTTCTGAACCCTTCTTCAGGAATGAAGAAATTTCTGAAGAAGTGTCCAGACCCGAAACGTCAGCTTTCCTGCTCCTCTGATGCTGCTTGACCTGCTGTGTTCATCCAGCTCTACACCTTGTTATCTCAGATTCTCCAGCATTGGTAGTTCCCATTATCTCTATTAAGGGATTATCTGTCTTTTGATGGGAGTCTGAACAGAAATTTGCTTTTCAAAGAAACTTAACACTTGAGGAGATTAAAAAACTTTGAATTGGTTTCATGAACGGAGAAAAAAAGTTTGTGAATTTTCTTGGAAGTTCTTGTTCATGAGTTACTAAAAGCTGGCATACAGGTGCAACAATCATTAAGGAAGACAGTTTGTTGTGCTTCATTGCAAGGGATTGGTGTACAAAGATGTATTCCTACAACTGTGTACGGCCTTGGTGGAACTGAAGTATTATGTTTGGTGGCCTTTCCTAAGAAAGGATATTCTTGCCGCAGAAGGATTGCAGTGGAGATTCATCAGACTAATCCTAGGGGCGACAGGATTTTCTTAAGAAGAGAGACTGCAGAAACTGCACCAGTATTCTCTAATCTTGTTGAACCTTACAAAATTCTTACAGGGCCTGAAAAGATAGATGTACATAGGATGTTGCTTCTGACTAGTGTGTCCAGAACTAGGGAACACAGTTTTGGAATAAGGGATTGGTCATTTAAGACGAAAGTGAGAAGGAATTTCCTCACTTAGTGGATAATCTTTGGAATTCTTTACCCATAAGGTTTGCAGAAACTCAAACTTTGAGCATATTCAAGACAGGAATCAGTAGATTTCTAGAGATTAGTAACATCAAGGGATATGACAGTACCCTCGAAAAGTGGCACGGAGGTAGATAATAAGCCATGATCTATCGAATGGCAGAGCAGACTCAATGGGCTGAATGGCCTATTCCTGTTCCTGTGTTCCTATCATGTTTAAGTAATTATCACACAATATCTAATGCAAATTGCTGTGTCATACCTCAAATTGCAATCAACAAGAAAACCTTCCAGGAAAACAAAATATCAGCAGGTTCTTAAATGATTATGGCATATTTAAAACCCAAAGTTCTAATGTCCTTACTGAACAATAATAAACTTTTGAATCGAATATGTCACTGTTTACTGTTCAAGTTATTACTGAAGCATTAAAGGGCACATTGTTACAGCAGCTGAGTAATACTTTAAACTAGATTTTCTACTCGAGTTACATGGTTACCCAGAGAAGCATGAAGGAATTTGATAGAAAATTCTTAGAGAGTCACTCAGTCTGTCAGAAATTGCAAGGAATATACAAAAAGCCAACCCACAACATGGGGATGCATATTGTAACTATGGAATTAACAGAAATATTCAAACAAATGTACTTTTCATCATTTGAATCATAGCAATACTGGGCACAGGTTTTCCGAGCTATTCCAGGTTTTCTTTGTTAATGTGTGTACGAGCTCATGTAAGAGACAAAAGGCCAAAAAGCAAATTGATGGTAAAATTGCATATGTTAACTATTTTTGCAAATGTTTAGTTTTAGTTTATCGAGCAGCACAGAGGTGACCATTAAATACTAGGTAGAGGTGAACCTTGCAGCCATTCACCCTCCGTCCTTGCCACCGCCTACCCATGCATTGCCCAGCAGTGATATCAGGAACCAGAAATTTATAGTGTGACTAACTGCAGCCAAAATCAGCAATGGTCAAGGGTACACTCTTGTAGCAGGTGAAAGTCCCTTCCTGCTAAGGATGCAAAGGAATTCTGCAGCAGTATAGGAGTGAGGAGATAAAATTGCAAGTGTTATACCTTTTGTGATTGCAAGGGAAAGTGCCAAGGCAGGGTAAGGAGGTGTTCAAGTGACAGAGGAGTGGACCAGAGTGTCATGAAGGAGATGGTCTGTGGTCCCCACTCCATGTTCAAGGTTTCAAACACTCCTTTCAGGTGAAGCAGCATTTTAACTGTACTTCTTTCAATCTAGTCTACTGTAACAATTGTTCACAATGCAGTATCCCCTACATTGATGATGCTTTGCAGAACATCTCCAATTGGACTTTAAGAAAGGCTCTAAACTTCGAGTTGCTTGCCATTTCAATATACAATCTTGCTCTCATGCTAACATTTCTGTTCTAAGCCTGCTGCTGTGCTCCAGTGAAGCCCAATGAAAATTGGAGGAACCCGCACCTCATTTTGTACTTACGCATTTGAGAGGCTTCAGGACACAACACTGAGTTCTCCACGAACAGTTCTCTGTTTTGATTGTGCACACTCATTGCCCCTCAACACCTGTATCTTATTGGATGAGTTTCCTCTCAACAGAGCTAATATATTTTTTATTGTTAACACCTATTCTTCATCTGTGATTCTCCTCGACTACCAGTAAGACTGCCTTTACCTTTTGCTGTGGGTACCTTCACCATCTATTCCACTTGCTTCTCCAACAACATTTTAAAAATCATTTTCCAGCCCTGTTCCATTCCAAAGAAGTCACATTAGCCTCAAAACATTAACTTTTCTCTCTCCACAGATGCTGCCAGACGTGCTGAATTTCTCCAGGACTTAAGTGTTTTTATTTCAGATCTCCAGCATCTTTTGAATAAACTACAGTCTGCCCTGCTACATAGTAGACCGTGAACAGGGTGATTATTTTACTCAGTGAGAATATATTTAAAAATTCAACTAAACGATATTCACAATTTCTTCGTAACAGGAAGACCACCCATTTTGCTAGGAGATTCTGAAAATTCAACAATATGATTTGTTCTGTCCTACAATACACCCACAGCATGCACAAAGGTTTTTATAGACACTTACCTATTCTGATCTCATTGCAAATACTGCAATCTTCCTCATAGTCCTCAGAGGAAAACTCCTCCCCTTTACTTAGGATGGTGGGATAGACTTTCTCTCTCCACAAACTTTTTTCACTACAATGAAGGAAGTCAACAGGTCTCCGAATAACATCCAGATCTCCATCGTCATCTAGCAGAATCTCAGTATGCACTGTGTCTTTTGTCACTTCAAATTTCTTTTCGCTTGCAGTAGCGTTGCTACAACCCATTTGACCAGTTAAAGCATCATCTGCATGAAGTACTCTATTTTCTTCACTGCTGAAATCCCCTAAATCATCTTTGTCACAGACACTAATATTCCGTAGGATTTTGAACTTTGACACAAAGACTGCAGAATGAATTAAAAATATAAATTATATTAGTTTCAAATAGTTAATGTGTAATATCTCACCAATTTCAAAGCATTAATGTACACTTTTCTAACACCGAAGATCTATAAATATCACTTCATGTACTAAAATGATAAAAAACAGAGTCATATGAGAGTTGTAACAGCTGCATTCTTGTCTGCTGGATTTGAAATCAAATTCTGCATGACTAGCGACAGATTTTACCAGTTACTGAAATGTTATTACCTGTCTGGGAAGAAAAAGACTTCAATTTAGGCACATTATACTTTGGAGGCATTTCTTAATATCTTTAATTAAGTATTATCTTGTTATTCTCTGGAGTTTAGAAAAATGGGAAGTGATCTCATTGAAACTTACACAATTCTTAAAGGGCTAAAACAGGGTATACGCAGAATAGATGTTTCTCCTACCCTCATATGACAATCCCTTCACCCCCAGAATCATTCTTGTAAACCTCCTCTAGATCCCCTCTAAACCAGCACATCCTAAATGAGATATGAGCCCAAGGCTGCTCACAATATTCTTTTATTCACGCATGGGATGTGGCATCACTAGCGAGGCCAGCACTTATTGTCATTCCTAATTGTCCAAATGGCAGTTAATAGTCAACCACATTGCTGTGGGTCTAGAGTCATGTGTAGGCCAGACGAGTAGGGATGACAGATTTCCTACCGTAAGGTCGTTAGTGAATCAGATGGGCTTTTCCTGATAATCGACATTGGTTTCAAGGTCGTCGTTAGATTCTTAATTCCAGAGTAACTGTATCCAAATTTCACCATCTGCCCTTGTTCCAAATGCAATCAGAACTGAGCCTTATACAGCCTCAGAAGTACATCTCTGTTTTTTTATTCCAGCCCTCTTGAAATGAATGCTCGCATTGCATGTCTCCCTAACTGCCAATTGAACCTGCTTGCTGGCCTTAAGAGAATCCTGAACTACGACTCCTAAGTCCCTTTGTGCATTAGATTTCCAAAGCCTTTCCCAATTTAGAAAATAGTCTATGCCTCTACTCTTCTTACCAAAGTGCATAACCTCACACTTTCCCACTTTATATTCTATCTGCTACTTCTTTGCCCATTCTCCTAGTTTGTTCAAGTACATTTGCAGGCTTATTGCTTTCTCAACACTACCTGTCCCTCTACCTATCTTTGTGTCATCTGCAAAGTTAGCAACAATGCCCTGTGACTTAGTCCAGATCGTTTATGTATAACATAAATAGATGTGGTCCCAACACAGACCCCTGTGGAAGTCACCAGTTTCCGGCTGCTTTCTTGAAAAAGATCACTTTATCCCCACACTCTGCCTTATACCAATCAGCCAATCCTCTATCCGTGTCTTTTATGTTCTTTAAGCGAATTGTTCAATTACTTCCCAATCCCTGCTCTTTCCTCAAAGCCTTTTAAAAAATATATTTGATTCCCTTTTGAAAGTGACTACTTCCATCATCTTTTCAGGCATTTCCTTGAAAATCATAACTGTCGCTGTAGAAAAAAATAACCATCTCCCCCACCGTTTTTAATTGTCTTCATTGTGATCAGTGACTTTGTAAGCTGTTGTGCATCTAACAAAAAAAATTATAACAGAAATGATCTGTAACTAGAAACAATGGAAAAGGTAGAAATTATTCTTGGGTACTGTTTTACCCATATTATTGGAATATTATCTATTGTTTCATCAGGCTCAACAACATACCAGTAGTGAGAACAGGAAAACGCAAGCATAACGAGAAATATAAAATAATTCTAAGGCAGTACCTGGTTGTCCAACTGCATTTAGTCTCACCATAAGGTGCCTGGTGTTTGGTGTGTACATGTGAACATCGGAAAGCACTGTTTCACTCTTAAATGTGATAGAATCCATGCATTCCCTCTGTCTGAACTAGCATGGCAGAGTGACAAAATACTGCAAGTACAGAAATAATATCAAAAATTAATAACTGCCCATAACATTTTTAAAGCATGCCAAATAAACACCAAAAATCCACACATTGTTTAGAAAATACTTCTGCTAAAAGTATTACATTCCTAAGATCACAGTTATAATTCCATTTACCAAACAACAGTTGAGACACATTCTGTATACTTTCAGGAACATAAACATTCAGAGGCATACTTTGACATCAAATAAAGCCCACCTCCAGGTTTAACTATTTTTCTAACAATCAAGGATTGGGTTTCACTGGTGTTGTGTACTTGAGGTTACTAGGCCTTTAATAATGAAGTCAAATAGTGCAAGGTTTATCTATCAATTTAATAATGGAAATCTGGTGAAATACTACTTTTTTGTTTAATGTTTCACTTCAGCCATCCAAAAATATTGACAGCAGTTTATTTGAATGGTTATTCTAAAATTAGTACTTCATTATCACTCCTGTTGAAATTCAAGTTACAACATTTCCGAGATTGGAAAACTACTTCCCAAAATGATAATACCAGCAAATGCTTACTCCAATATAATAGAAATTATCAATGAAATCATTGCTTTCACAGCCATTTTAAATTTTGTAGTAGTTATTTTCATTATTAGGTGGGCGACCACTTTGTTCCTTCGCAAGGTAACCACGAAAACTTTACAGTACATGAGGTTAATTTTTTTTTATAACTTTGCTCTTTTTTTATGCATAATCAATAGGTAAGAGGATTGGGACTTAGTCCTTAGAATGTGTTTCTGGTTGGAAGGTTGATGTGCCAGTCAGCTCCAACTTGGTACAAGGTAAAACATAATCACAATTTATTACTAACTTGATGTCGTTGATTAATTTTTGTATGATTTTGTGTGCATAATTGACCTACACCCACTACCCAGTATAAAACAGATGGAGGGTTCTTGTGGTGCAGAAGTTACATCTCTACTCTGAGCCATGAAGCTTGGCCTCAAATCCCACCTGCTCCAGAGGTGTGTAATAACCTTTCTTAACAGGTGCTGAGAAAAAAATCTATCAAAACTTTGCAAGGGCTATTTGGTGCAGTGGTAGTGCTCCTACTTCTGAGCCAGGAGCCTCCACGCTTAAGCACCACATGCTCCAGAGGTGGAGAAATAACACATCTGAACAGGTTAAAAATATATGTTCCAAGTTGTTGGATACTATCAGAACACAGGTTATGTTAGTATAATTAAGCAAAAAACTGCATCTTGGAAATCTGAAACAAAAAAACATTGCTAGAGGAACTCAGCAGGTATAGCCTCATCGATGGAGAAAAAGAAACAGAATCTTGAGTCCAGTGATACTTCCACAGAGGTTATTTTGTTATGTATTATTTTAGATCATTTCTACAATTTTCAGTCTATTCTATAATATGTTATGATATGTACATAGAAGCCATCTAGTTATTGTTTTGCATAATAGTTTGGTCCCGCTGGTCATGTTAGTGCCAAAACAAGCTTCTCATATCTGCACTTTTTGCAAGAGGACAAGCTGCAAGCCTGGTGAAAACACAGGTGCTCTGAGTCCACCTACTGGTCCTCTTATAACTTTCACTTGCAGGCCAGGACTCGAGTATCTACAACTGTCACCCTCTAAGATTGACCCTCAAGTTTTCAGAAATCCATCATGAATGTTGGCAACACTGCAGTGAGCAAACAGGGAGAAATTTTAAAGAAGGTGAAACAAACACAGAAAAGGCTGGAGAAACTCAGCAGATGGGCGGAGAGAAAGAGAAACAGAATGAATGTTGAGGCCGGCGCGACTCTTCTTCAGAACGGCTTTTTGCTTTTACTTTAAAGCAGATGTGAGATTTTCTGATTGCCTTTGAACATGTTCCCAACTGGCTGAAAGGGAAGACATTGACAATGGGGGAAAAGAGGTCAATTAGAAGCAAGAGATTAAACCTCCAGGATACAAGAGTGAGAGAGAGAGAGAGAGAGAAAAGTAAACCTCCAGGATACAAGAGTGAGAGAGAGAGAGAGATAGAGAGAGAAAAGTAAACCTCCAGGATACAAGAGTGAGAGAGAGAGAGAGAGAAAAGTAAACCTCCAGGATACAAGAGTGAGAGAGAGAGAGAGAGAGAGAAAAGTAAACCTCCAGGATACAAGAGTGAGAGAGAGAGAGAGAGAGAGAGAAAAGTAAACCTCCAGGATACAAGAGTGAGAGGGAGAGAGAGAGAAAAGTAAACCTCCAGGATACAAGAG